TTGCAATAGGCAGTTCTGCTACCAAAATAGCATATCAGTTTAAAATACTCATTACAGTTTTCAGTAATGAATTTGATTTTGCTTAAATGCCGCAGTATGAATTTACAGCACCTTGTGGTAATGGAGAAAAGGTAGCCTCTCCTGGAGAAGCTCAGTTCCTTAGCAAAAAAACACCTGTTCTGCCTGGTGTTGGTTAGGACCTAAATAGTCTTTTAAATGAGCAAAAGATAATTATCAGTTTACTAAAACCAATAAAATATTTCAAGATTAAAAAAAAAAGACAGTTAATTGGGACACAGTTGGAGATGCATTATATTGTCATTAAATCTTAAGTGAAGGATAATCTCTCCGTATTGGCTAAATGAGAGTTTACCCACTGTAATGTGTGCCATTAAGAAGATTCACAAACACATCAGCAGAGCAGTGTGAGAGTCTTGCATGTTCCTTTTGTCATTAGCAAAAAAATGTAAGAAGCTTCAAGTAAGAGGGGAAATAGATGAAGCCTTTTTTTCTGTGAGCAGGTTGAAAAGAAGATTGGGGTCTCAGTGATGGTTCTTAGCACCTGGCTGTGTCCTGGCCTTTGTGTTTGCCCTGTAAATCACTGGAGGTTGGGCAGCGTAATGCTCTTTCTCCTTCCCACCATATAAATAACTCTGCAAAAGGCAGATCAGCCATCTTTCTCTTTGTTTTAGGAAAAGAATCCCCAAGACAGTAAATCACTCAGATGCAGGTAATCTGAGAGGAACAAATTGGAGCGGTGTTGGCTGGGGTAATTTGTTTGTGTCTAACCTGTGTAAAATCTCTTTGGATTTTTACTGTAACAGATTGTTCTGGTGCTGTGATTCCTGTGTTAAAGCAGTACAGATGTGAACTCCCGGGAGTGTTATTAACTTGAAATATACTCTTTGATTTGCATAATCAGTGTAAGTGTAAATCAAGACTCTTTTATCATAATGAAAAACCTGTTACCTGTCAAGGAAAAAAAAAAAAAAAGAAAGCCAGAGTTGCACTGAATAACTGGTGTTCCAACTTTCCTCTGTGGGGGGGCTCAGTGTGGTTTCTGGGATCAGTGAGGGCTTAGGGATGGGTGTAGTGGCAGCTTTCATTTGGGAAATCTGTGGTGAAAATGAGTTTGCAGTTGCAGCAGCATCCTGCGCTGTGTCCTTGGGGACCTTTGAGGTAATGGCTGCAGATGCTGTGTGCAGGAGTCAGGCAGCACTGCGTGGAGTGGAGCCTCTGGGGTGGCCCAAGGGGAAGCTCCCAGTGATGTGCATGGAATAGTCAGGCTGTATCTGGGGACCAGCACTGAACTGAGCTCATAACCTGCAAAGGGAGATGAGAAGCCTGTTGGGGACTGCAAGGGGAAGGGGCAGGGGAGGGTACTCTGAATTGCTGCTGTTCTGCTGCGTGGTGTGAAGGAAGTGGTAAGTCAGGAGTAAATTAGGAAGGGAGGAGCATTGTCTTCCATTTTCTTGCAAAAGAGAAAAAGCAAAATTAGGTTTTATGGATTAAAGAATTCTGGACTTCATTATACTTGCAATGAAATATATGAACATAAATCTGATTATCTGTAGTCCAAGTGGGCACCTGCAGTAACTTAAGCAGAACTTCTGACACCTGGACCTTGCCTGCTGCTGGAATTAAATCTGAAACCTGGTACCGAAGTCAGACGAGTTGCTCTACGCTCCAGGAGGCAGAAATAAACTAAGACTGCGCTGCACTGAAGAGATGAGCCTGGCTGCCCCTCTCTCCCTGGCTGCCTTTCTGCTGCAGAGGATGTTTCTTGCCTTCCCTGCCAGGTGAATGGCATACCGACACGTGCTGCTACTGGTGGGGCTCTTGTCCCTTGTAGTGTCACTCCAGCTGACATCTGCCCCAGGCTGCTACCCCTTTACTTTGTCACTCTTTAACCTGCTTTCTTTACTAGATACAAGAATCTCCTTTTTTTTCCTTCTTCTTTTTCTACCTTTGATCTTGGTGTCACAGAAAGTTACTATGCCTATTATTTTAGCCTAGAGTAATTCAATTATACCATTCAAGGGGAAAAGCCAGGCAAATGCTTTTTTGAGAAGAATGAGTTTGTCTTAGCCTGTCCTTTTTACTTTGATTAATTGCAAAAGTTCATAGCGCTGCCTTCCAGCTATAGGGATGTGGGTTCAGTATCCTGCAGTGTTACTTTCTGTATGCCTCTATGAAAAGCAAGTTGAGTGTAAATGTTGCAAAACTGTGGCCAGACTCAAAAATTGTCTGATCTCTGAGTAATCACCAGGACTTGAATGACAAATTAAAATTGAAAAGCTGTTTCCTGTCTCCCATGAGGGATTTTCAGTTAAGCCTTGGAATTATTTTGCCAAAGTTGGAGCAGGATGGCCTGCACCTTGTGACCTGGATGCAGCTTCGTGGCTGCCCATTGGTGTGACCATGCCTGGGCCTGGCTGAGCAGGCAGCTGCTGCTTGTGTCCCCAGTAGCCTCAGACAGCACAGGTAAACGAGCACTGACTGCGCTACCACATCCTGTTTCGTACTGTTTCGTACAGGAAATTGAAGTATTTTTGTGTTTGGGCTTAACATGCCTATTGTTAGTTCTGACTGGGGAAGGTATTCTGTAATGCCTTGCTTCAGTTTCGTTCTTTCTTACTTTTAAAGTGAACCTAGTTTTATTTTGTTTCAGGCTGTTCTCAGTATGGCTTTTCTGGTCACTACTTCCATTCCTTTTTAACTCACCAATATCAGGAACCAGGCCTTGCTGCCTTTCCCCTGCTCGTTTTCTTATCTTCACTCCTTCTGAGGAGGGCTGGCTTGGCAGCCTGGTATGAAATGACTGCTTTTTGCTAGGGAAAAGTGACCTTCCACATGGCTAACAGATTCATCTTACTTGTCCTGGAAAGTTTAAAGTGTCTCTGTCTTGCTGCAAGCTGATTTGAAGCTGAATTACACCCAGCAGATCTTGTTGATTGGCTGCGGTGTGAATATGAAACATCCAAGCAGTCTTTAGGAGTCGTTACTTTGAGCTAGCTGGGATGGGATGATGGCTGCTTGTATTCAGAGCAAAAAGCCTGCAGCTACAGCTGAGTGCCTCTTTGGTTTGGTGGGCTGTCCTCTCGCTTTCCCTAGCGCAGGGCTGTGTGCAGTGGTGTTCTGGCAGCTGGATTCCTGAGCTCGTGCTTCTGCCTTTGGTTTGTGACATGAGGAGTGTGAAGGTCTCAGTAGGGATGTTTTAGACATATATTTGAAGCAGTGCAGTGTGAGAGAATTACATGCGAAACTCCTCATTTCTGTCATTTGGAGATTTTCTCTCCACTTACGCACATCTATAATTTATGAAATATACACATAAATGTAGAGCAAACATTTACCTTAGGAATCTTAGGGGTTTATAGTCAGTACCTAAGGGTTTTACCATCTCACCCTGTTGTGAGAGCACTGGTGAAGTGGCCTGGGGAGGCCAGGACCCCGAGGGACAGCAGTGCTGCTTGTCCTGCAGCTGCAGGCCAGGGGACCTTACTGTGTGAGCGGAATGCTGTCCAAGGCACGTGGGAGATCACACTGCTGGGTTTTTAACTACTGAAAAGCACTTGTAAAAAATTGAGAAGCGCTGGAAGGGGTTATAAATCAACAGTGAAATCTCATCCCCTTGTGAAGGCAATAATGAACTATTCAGTGGTCAAATATTAGCAAGTACTGCTAATTGCAGTGAAAGCAGTGCACCTACCTCTATTTGCAGGTCTTCAGGACTGACAAGCGCATGCTGTACCTCTGTAGTGAGCTCATTTTTGGGACCTGTACTCCCACAGCAGCTGGCTTTTAGAAGCGGTTCAGGGAAGAACAACTCAGAACTAAAAACTGATTTCTCAATAATGTGTCTGTTTTGATTCAGATGATGAAAGGCAAGGGGCATAAAGCGTGTACCGCTGCCAGTGAAGCATAGCCTGGAGTTATTTGGGTTAGCATGCAGTAATTTGCTTTAAAACTAGCTGATGATGTTAAAGGTGGGAGATCTTCATGCAGATTTATGTAAAATACTGTGACAGCTATGTTCAGTGGTAACCCTAAGGGTGTTATTGAAGTGTCTGTTAAAGGAAGTGTCCTTACCTGAGGCATTTAAAGGAAGTCAGAAGAGGGTAAAAGTACAATGAACCTGAGGGCAAAATGCTGTAGGTGCAGGTCTGGGGATTGTTGGACCTTCCGGTGCATTATATACACAAATCTGTTTGTTTTAGCTGTTTTTCTGGAAGAAAATCTCTCTTCTGGATGTGTTTCTATGTGGTTGTAAGTTAAACTCAATCTACACGATTTCTCACAGCCCTCCTCAGACACTCAGTAGTTTGCTGTGGTTTACAAACTTTGTATTTTTCTCGTAAGGACACAGACGATCATTTCCCAGGAGAGCATTCTGCTCTGAGAGCCGAAACCAGAAAGGGAGAGGAGGGCTGCATGTTTTCAGGACATAAAGAAATCTTTTGGCTAGCTCTGTCCCTGCTGAGTTAGTCACTGTGGGTTGTTTCACAGCAAACTTTAATGCTGTTACATTCAGGGGCTCCACAGTCACCCCGAGCTGGCCCTTTGGGAAGGCTATGGTGTGACTGCGCTTGGGGCTAAGAGTTTCAGAGCAGAGCACTGGGAGTTTTTGCTTTCTGTGACATGCCATTCTCACATTAATATCGAACTGTATCTAAACAGAAAGCTTTTAAAGACATGTGGCTTTATCCTCTTTACTACTTTAGAAAGATTCAGGATTCTAAATCATCTACACCCTGCGTGTTGTGTTTCAGAAACGTAAAGCTAAGTGCCTATTTCTGCAGATTGCAGCAATCTCCTTTGACTTTTGCTTAGTAAAGCGCCTCAGCTCATACTTGCCACGTTTGTATACTTTGAGTCACCTAACCACACTGATCATAGGAAGTGGGATGGGGGAGGCCAGTTCCTGTGAGCATGGCATTTTAAACCATGAAACAAGAGCTGCAGCAGGAACCGCTCTGCCTTCTTTTGGTTGCCTTATAGTCTGAGCAAAGAAGAAAAATGTGTGTGTCTCTGCTTGAATACAAGTAAGTGATATATATCTCTATTGATATAAAATTGCTTGCTTTCAAATATAATGTCTTCTGGATTCTTTCTGTAAGCTTATGGTGATAGCTTTGCTGTCACTCTTCTTACTGAGGCTGACTTTTTGGAATGCCAGAAGAATAGATGTCATGTGCAGTCACCATTGTTAATGTCGTCGAGCTTGATAGAAGGACATGAGTGCAGCCCCATTGCATGCTGCCTTTTCTGCAGTTCTACACGGTGTGTCTGCGAGCGGTGCTGGTGGCACCTGCAGCTCTGTAGGGACGGGAGGCAGGGAGACGTGAGGACAGGAGGCAGTGCAGGCTGACCTGGGGAGCCGTGCATGAGGCTCTGCCAGTGCTTCGTCTGGGCACTGGGCAGGAGGAGGAGGTGAGTTTCTTGTGGATTTGAGGGAAGGGCTGGAGTTAATTAAGCGGTGTGAAAGGAGAAAGAAGGATATGCCAGATGGCAGCGTGGGGACAGGCCATTGCTGCCTCCAACTCAGCAAGAGGGGTCAGGAGCAAGACTGAGGCAGGGCAGCGTGAAATTGGAGAGGGGGTGAAAGTTGCAGCTCTCTGGAGGCCTCTGAGAGTGCTGCTGGGTGTTTGTAACTGGCTGCAACAAGAAGGGTAGTGTCATGCCATTGCTAGAGGTGATGTCTTTCTTTTGCTTTGCAAGACAAATTTCATTGCAGCTCATTGCACCTAAGGCTCACAAAACTGGGTTTCCATCCAGCGTGGTGAATGCTTTAGTTTCTCTAAGAACATCCTTAAACAACTGTGTCTGTAAACACTGCCTGAGTGTGAAGGGCAAAGTAATATACCACTCAACAGATTCCTGCTGACATGAGGAAGGCATAATCAGCACCTTCTAATTTGTGGCAGGGCTCTTCTTACCACAGTTTTCTCCTTCACAGCATACATTAGTTCTGCCCTTGCAGCCCCTTGCTTTCTAGCAGCAGGTTTCTGCCTTAAGGACAACATGAGCCTCTGCTCCTTGAAAGGCTTTCACTAAGGAGGAGGAACAAAGAGAGAACCTACCAGAGACAGCGTCAGGGAATGCCTAAGTGGATGTTTCAGTTGAGAATAGAGATGTTGGAACTGGGAATAATGAGAACCTTTTAGGAGAGGCTAGGGGTCATTGTGTATGCTCAGTTTGTAGCCAGGAGGTGGGAAGAGCGATGTTCCCATTGCAGTACCTAATGAAAATAGCTCTGGTTATTAATATTGGAGAGTTGCTGTTAAATCTGCTCAGTTCTGGGCACGGAGTGGTTAACTGCAGAAGCATCTTGTGCCATTACCTATATTCTGGTTTGTTTGTCTGAATTTTTTTCTCACAGTGTTTGGTCGGACTGTTGCTGGTCGCTCACCCACTTGATGCACGCTTTGCAAAACAGCGTCAGGAGTGGAGTCACCACAACCAGATGCATCTGTGCTATAGCAGCTCATTTCCATCTGGAGTAGTTTCCCTTTTATATGCTTGAAGAAAGAGTAGAGAATTATAATGTCTTCCTGTGCTCTTAGAGTTGGACCCTGTGGATCACATTACACTGAGTTGCCTTTTGTAGCTGTTGACTTCAATGACAGCCTAACTCAGCAAATTATTAGGAAACTGGAGGCTGTGGGAGCCTGAGGAGCTTGTGGGCGACAGCAGTGGAAGCTCTGTCAGCAGCACTGGGAATGGCCTCACCCTAACTGCTGGTTGTGCTGGTGCCCAAAGCACGTGGATTGAGTGTGTCCATGGAGGTGTGGGGCTCACAGTATGCACTGCATGTTCAGCATTGCTGTACTGCCATAAGAAGGGGAAAAAAATAAAAAATGCAGTGTAATGCAATGAAATGAAGTCAGATTCATCTTTATGGATGTCTGGAAAAATCCTCTGATGATATTAATTTTCAGAAAAAGTGAACTTTTAAAGTAGGTATTATTTATCATTGCCTTTCTAGTGTGTGTAGTTTGTTGAGCCCTTTTCTGCAAGTCCAGCATTTTTTATCCCTTCTAATCCTTGGTCATTCTGTGTGACTTTCCAGGGAGAGCAGGAGGTGGGTTGGCATGGCAAGGTGCTGCTGTGTCCCACTGGGCACTGCCCGAATCCTCCTCTGGAAGAGGGCTGGGTGAGTCCTCTGAGCTGCCTCCTCTTGCAGGGTCTCTGGTAGAGATGCATCTTCTCGCTCCATGTCCCTTCCCAGGAGCACAATGGCACACTCCTCCAGCTGTGGGTTGTACTTCTGGAGAATTCCATGGGAAATAATCCAGTAAATCTTGTTTTCACAGATCATTTTATAGTGCTTGAAAAAATATGTGAAGAAAGTGGATTTTTGTCTTGTGTGCAAAAAGCAGTCCTTAGGGGCCACATCAGAGATGAAAAGAGGGAACCATCTTGGCTGAGATTAAATAAAAAAGAATGAAAGCCACTTTTGTGGTTTCATCCATGCATATTTTTCTTGATTTATGGCCAGCACTACATTTTGTGCTTTAGGTGCTTGTGGCTTTCCAAGTTTCTCTTCTTTTTCAGACCTTATCAATTTTATTTTCTGCTTTGCTTCCTCACTTGCTCTTTAGGTGTGTCATCAATATTTGTGAAGGTTAAGTGCAGACAGTAGGTGAACAGCAGCAACATGTAAGCAATATACAAGATGGTACAAAAATGCTGTATTTTTGGAAGATGATATATTTCTTTTTTTTTTTTTTAATAGGTGTTTTTAATGGGAAGTAGTAAGGCTTTGCAAAGTATTTGCTCTGGAAATGCCTCTGAACACAAGTGCTGGAGCAAGTGGAGCCAAGTTCAGAGCTCGCTTTGGGCAGGACGAAGGCATTTGCCTTCATCAGGAGATTTTGTACCATGATTGTTTGCATGGATTCTGCTGTAGGAGGGAGCTGCTGTAGGTACAAACATCCACTCAGAGTTGGGTTGTTCAAGTCATTCTTAGGAACAAATGCACGTGCAGAAAATCCAGGACTGCTGGATTGCCACCCATCCACCATCACCAGTTCCTGCTGAAGCACTCGGGGCTCTTCTGTATGCTGACGTTTATATTTTATTGAATTACAGCTTTTCTCATGTGCGTGATTTTAATTTCTTGCTGTGTTGAGCTACAGAGAATGGGAAGGAGATTGTCCTTGCCCTGAAAGCTGCCGCGTCACGGCATGGCTGTTGTCACGGAGAGCTCTTGGTACCCAGAGCTGGGGCAGCTGCATAAGCTCCTTCTGTGATGATTTGTTTGAAATAATCTATTAATCTGCTCTAACAATCTATTCTGCTTTCACTGCACTTTCCTGATAAGTGAAATCATATTTGAATAAAACCTAGTGCTTATAAATGTCTGGTTTCTAATAGAAGCGTGTGTTAATAGCTGATCTTAAGTGTGCTGAAAAGCAGATTCTGTAGTGGAAATGCTAATGAAGCTTCAGCAGCAGTAACTGGCGACCGTGACAAGGAATTCAAGGTTGTATATTTGGGTTGCAGAGCAATATATTTGTGCTGTCTGTATCTATTTTTGTCAGCAACATTAATATCTTATGACTTTTTTTTTTCTTTAAATCCGTACTGCTGCAAAAGTTTCAGCATCAGCTAATCTTCCCAAGCAGTCCGTGAGGCTCAGGTTTCAAAGTCATTATCCCAAAGGTCACATCCTGATTTAATACCATTAGTGTAAACCCAGGATCGTTCAGTTGGTGTGGGTGGAGGTGCTCGTCGTTTCACTTTTTTGATCTTACTATAAATCTAACCAAGAGTAGGTTGCATTTGTGAGGCTAATGCTGTGTTCTCGAACACATCACAGGAAGGCTAAGATTGATTTTCACCTTCAGATGAATCCTTTCTACGTGGGGCAGGTCAGCTCCCTCTCCTGAAGGGTGCTGGGCAATTAGCTAGTCCGCTTCAAAACAGGAATTTGTCAAGTTCCCTTTGCTATTGATTTATGGATTGGCATTCACATTTCTACATCAGATAGGTTTTCCTCTTCTTCATCCTACTGGAAGCCAATATACTCCTGCGTTCATTTGCAGCAATTTTAAACCACAGCCTTTTAAAACCACTTTTATGCCTTTTTATATGACATGCTATCAAAGGTAGTTTGAAGATTTGATGTTCCTGGAGACTTGTTACAAGAGAAGTGGAAAAAGAAGTGTCCACCATGTGGAGGTGAACATATGGGTTTTCCACAGTACCCACAGAAAATGAATTGAGAATGTGGAATTAAAAGGCAAGCAAACATTCATCATGCCTTTCTCTCCTTTCCCACTGGATCATATCTTAATGGGATCTTTTAGACTGCAGCCTTTTGGGAGCATGCTAATATTTTGTGTAAGGGCGAATAGTAAATAGCAGCAAAATACAGCTTGACTGATTACATCTCTGAAGGAGTGGAGCTTGTACCATTCCCATGCACATGGGACACATTCACCATAACGTAGGTGATGCTTCTTGCTTGTTTATGTTTGTTTTACCAAATAGCATGATGTTGTACCTCTATTTCTGACTGGAGGAGTCTTCCTGAAATTGCTTTTTTATATTTACTCTTTTATTTTGGGCGTCTGTTGTTTAAAAAAAAAAAAAAAAAGAAGTAAATTAATTATTAACTTTACCAAAATTCCTGGTGACTGGAACTAGGCAACTACTTCAGTATGATTGTTGAAACTGGATAGACTGGTTGTCTGAGTGAATGGCTTGCACTTCTAGCCCCTTTCCTTAGGATATGATGAGAACGATATGCTTCTACAACTAGCACGCATTTTCTCCAGGATTAATAAAAGGAAATAAATGTTGCTTTTTTTCTTTTTTTTCCTTCTAGGTTGCCCTTGTTCTCCTTTTCAAATCAAATGTCACATTGACTCAAATCCAGCATTGGAAGCATGTGGGGAACTGCAACATATCAGCCCGGCGCAATGTATCCATCAGACTGGAAGGAAGCCCAAACCCAAAACTCCACTGGCCAAAATGCATCCTCTGCAGAAACCCCAAGGCAAGTGGCTTTGACCTCTTAGCAATTCTGCAAGCTTCTATCATATGTGACATTTTAAAATTATTTTTTCTAAATTTTAAGTCAAAGCAAAGTACTTATTCTGTGTTCTGAGGTTCCAATACAAGTAGGAGGTTTGTATTATCTTTGGTTTTCCAGTTTTAGAGGCATCTTTGGGAAGCCTTCAAGAAGAAATTGATTGCTTAACTTACTGATTTACCTTCCCTTTATTGTTATTATACCTCATATAGCTGTGAAATCTAAATTTAATTTAGCAATATTGTTTTCATTCTCTGTCATTAGTTTTTGTTTTTAAAGTGTTTAGAATAGCTTATTATTTAAACCTGGATCTGTTTTCCATTCGTTTTAAGAAATACATGTAGCAACAGGAAATGCCAGAATAGAGTTAATGCATTTTAAAAATGAAAAATAAACTAAACTCATCACTTCCAGGAGATATGTGGGCTGTGTTAATTCCACAGTCCTGCCAGACTCAATGAAGTAGATGACCCAACGGTACAATGCTTTCTTGAATAGTTATTCTTGCTATTATTCTTTTAGACAGAACCCAGCTAACTGGGCTTCTTTATGCTGCTGTAAAAGTAACCTAACATGAAACAAGTCCCAGTCAGAGTTCCCATGGGAATTTGTCACACAGTACCCAATATTTGAAAATCAGACCTAGTGGCTCAGAGTGTGCCAAGTTATACAAAACTACAAAGTATTTATATGATTTGTGTAAGTATTACAAGATGTGGTTGTAGATGGGCCATTCATCTTCCTGGAAGACACTGCTTCATCTTAAAATTTGTGTTGTTACTGTTTCACTTATATTCTTTATAATAAAACTACCTTTAAACAGTATCTGCAGTTAACTTACATGTAACAGTAGAGGACAGTATGTACCATCTTTTGCAAGGTTGGGAGATGGTAAAGGTTTTTTTTCTTCACTTTTATTGACTTTGTAAATTTGAAATGGTTTCTGTCCCTTAGAAGTAATAGTTTGTTGGTAACCTTCACAGTTTGTATACTAAGTAAAGATAGGAGAATGTTTCTTGCCTTTAGAAAAGTGAAATAATCAAAATAACAAATACGAAAATAGTCATGGGACAGAAACAGTTCCCCAAACTGTTGTCAGTGTGTATTAAATTGCCTGTGTTTAGGTTGACATTTCTCCTTAAACTATCCTTGCTTATCTTGGTGGCCATCTCTAAAAAAGTAATAGTAACAGTGTAGTGCATTTCCTTGTAAAATACAGAATCACAGAATTGTAGGGGTTGGAAGGGACCTCCAGAGATCATTGAGTCCAACCCCCTGCCAAAGCAGGTTCCCTACACCAGGTCGCACAGGTAGGCATCCAGGCAGGTCTTGAACATCTCCAGAGAAGGAGACTCCACCACCTCCCTGGGCAGCCTGTTCCAGTGCTCCGTCACCTCACTGTAAAGAAGTTCTTGCGCATGTTTGTGCAGAACTTCCTATGCTGCAGTTTCTGGCCATTTCCCCTTGTCCTGTCTCCACTCACCACTGAAAAGAGTCCGGCCTCGCCATTCTGCCCCCCACACTTTAGATATTTATAGACCTGGATCAGGTCCCCTTTCAGTCTTCTTTTCTCAAGGCTGAACAGACCCATTTCACTCAGCCTTTCTTCATGAATCATTCATGATTCATACATGAATCTTCTGTCCAATTTTTGATGGCATTTTTAGGCAAGAACTTTTATTCCCAAAGCTTTTATCCTAGAGTTACATGGATTCTTCATTCAGGCTCTTTCTTGTTGATTTGTTGAGTGGAACGTGCTGGCGTCACTACCAGAGACTCCAGGAACAGCTTGCTTTAATGCAACCTGAGGCTGTGTGCTGTTGGGTCATGTTTTCTTTTCTTTTTTCTTTATTTTTTTTGTCTGTATTTGCTTCCCAGGGAATAGCTCTTCATAGTCTGATTTATCATATACAGATACATAGAATTATAAATGTTATTTATGTATTTATGTACACGCACTTTGAAATCATATAAACTATATATATTTAAGTGTCTGTATTTAAATATGCATATGTATCATCTAGATATACATATTGTGAGTCCAAATCACAGCACTTAAGTCCTTGCAAGCTGTGACAAGCCCACCACTGCCGGGATGATTTGATAGGAAAGCCTTCATCAGATCACCTACCAAGTGTGTACTGACCCTTGGCATTATTGTGAGATGGACAACCTGTGGGCTGGGAGGCCTGAAGTAGCACAGTGGTTGAGATGCTCTAGTCATGCTAAGGGAAGGATCCTTATTCCCTGCCGTGAGGTGAGGGAGGGGTCCTTACTCCCTGCTCTTACAGGTATGGGCCAGCCCTGGTCTGTAACTTCTCCCGGATATTTAACCATGTCTTCCCCTTTTCTATTTCTGTCCCTCTGCTTCTCATTATTTCACTTGATTATTTTGCAACAAAAGCAGTGTATCTTGCTTGGTTTCTGCTTCCTCCACGCAGCACTGAGTTGCTACGTAAAACCTTCAGGAGGAAGGCTGGGGAAGAGCCATTCCAGCATGTGGCTTCAGCTCTCAGCCACCACCTGAAACACATCCCATGACACTAACTCTCTTCTCCACAGCTGCCTTTCTTCCCTTTCTCCACCATTTTGCCTGTCTGTGTGCAAGCTGGGCACTGAGAGCTTCACCCAGGTTCTGTGCTCTGTGGCTGGGCCTGTGGAATGAGCATGCAAGGCAGAGGGGAGTTCAGTGCAGAGAGACAAAACAACAGTGGTGCCTCTAGAATGGAACAGGAGGGCGATGGTGGTTGTGGCTGAGCTCCATCTGCGGGTTCTGCACCCACATGTGCAAGCAGCAGCTTTGGGTTTTTATAGGATTGACTGTTCATTTAGTACTTATTATGACAGTGCAGGTACAAAGGAGCTCATCTGGTGTTGTGTTTTTTTTCAGTATGCAGATCTATCAGTTACTGCTGTTGTAGGAGTTTAAAATGATTTTTAGTTTAAATGTATGTAAAATGCGTGAGGGGTAACAAATGTTTGCCATGTCATTTAATGGGCTTGGGAGCGGAAATCAGCAGTATGGTGTGAACGCTTTTTGCAGATTGGTGTAGTGTGGACTTTGAAAAGTCTGTTTTGTCTTCTCTGTTGAGTTATGACTAGATACCTGCTTGTTGGCTGGACAACGAGCTGTCTGGCTGTTGTGATACTGTGACAAGTAATACCACTTCCTTGAAATTCTGGACGTAGGTTCTTTGTGTCAACTTTTCAGTAGACATCTGTGGTCAATGTTTTGTTTTGTAAGCAGTGGTTAAGAAAGGCAGGATCTTTGCCCCTGTGCTGATTCATCTTTTCCTCCAAATTACCTTGGTAAATACCAGAATTCAGAACTAACCAAAGGGACTACTTTTTATTTTCCTTCTTTTTATTACACCTTATCATATCACAGATGCAGTGAAGTTCACCTGCGGAGTGTTGTAACCCAGTTTTAAGCTCTTAAGAACCTAACAGGAAATGTAGGGTAGGTTATTTTGTAGCTGTCTGCTGCATGACGCACCTATATGATGCAATAATAATTTTCTTTTCCTGCTTGACTGTTTTGTGTGTGTGTGTAAAACAGGTTTTGTGGTGAAGTTTTCAAAATTGAACTGTAATATCTTCATTTTAAGACAAGAATTCCAAATGTTTTTGCGTACTGCCTAGGCAGTCATCCTATGAGAAGCATCCCATTAGAGCTCAAATCATTAAGTTTGATCTTATTCTTTGGTGGAAAGCGACCTCAGTCACTTAGATAGTTTTAATGCTGACTGTGTGCAGAGCTCAAAGGCTCCAGCCATTCATCATCACTGACCTCAGACAGCGACTGTCCATAGCCAGAGGAGGGAGGACCCGTAGGCTGATCTGGAGCTTGAAACAGTCAGCATTCTGCAGGGTAGGGACAACAGAGATTGACTTCTTGGGACCGTACGTCTCAGCTGTAGCCTCCTCAAGAAAGTAACCCTGAAATTACACTTAGAACAGTTGCTGATTAAAGCTTCATTACAATGTTAATCTCATAACACCCATGCGCCATGTTGACTATTTAAAAATTGGAAATGCTTGAAATACATTGTTCTTGAAAACAGTGTTTAAGAAATACATTTGTAGAGTTAACCCATTTGTGTATTAATTCCTTGAATAGCCCAGATGGGATCATTAGGCAGCAGTGCTCCAAGCAGTGCACATTTGGGAGTAATCACACTGCCAGTTTTCCTACCTTCTACTGTAACGTCTGCTGCTATGTGGCTGCTTTCTCTGTCTGAAACTGTAGCAGCACGTGAACCTGTTGCCATGGGTTACTGCTTACGTATTTCCAAAACCCTTTACTCTGCAAACAATGTAAGGGCTGAATATATATATATTTTAATTACTGTTTTTTTAAATACTGTATTTAACTTTGCACCTTTGCCTCCCGATGAATTCTTAAGCAGAATGTACACGTTCTCACAATGTGTTTTATTTATATAGTATATAACTCAATGTAGAAGCAAAAGAGGAAGGAAATTTATGAAGACTACACCACGGAAGACATGGGGGAGGGAGAATGAAAGGAAGAAAAGCTATTATGTTCTGCTTGTGGGTTTTTTGGCCAAGCAAATAGAAGGCACTGAAATCCATGGTGGGATTGTTTCTGTGGTGGGTTGTTTTGGTTCAGATTTTTTTTTTCCTTTTTTTTTTTTCCCCGACATAAGAGATTGAACAGAGTGCTGGAGTCTTGAGAAGTCATGGGAGGGGAAGCTCAGTGGCGTGGTTGAGATGGTGAGCCTATTTGCAAGAACGAAGTGCGAGCTGTGCATCCTGTTTGGTAACAAGGAAGCGGTAAATTTCAGCGAGCCGCACTGTTCGTTTTATACAACTGCAGAGATGCAAAATAGAAGACCATCATTTTTCTTTAGTGTACAACAGTTTGCTTTTGTGTAAGGAATAGTTTGGGACTGCGCTGAGTGTAATTTATGAAGGTTGAAAGAATGGATATCCCTCGTTCGGCATCGCGTGCCTGCATTTTTTTTTCCAGTTTAAGATAAAGAAGATGAAGATTTATCCTCCTGTTTTTTCCTCCTGTTTTATCAGTACCTCCTAAGCCTGTCCACCTCAAGCCTGGGCAAGAAAGAATTCCTCCTGCACCTTCTCGGCCTTTACCAGCTGATCCCAAGTCATCAAGGAGCTTAGCACCTGGAGAGGAGGAAATACCAATATCGGCAGGAGTCAACACGCTCATTGAGAAATTTGAAAGTATTAGGTAAACATGTTATTGTACCTTTTAAACTATATGTTGCAGTGGTTATAGCTTGTAACTTGGAGTTTAAGATGTGCTGAATTTGAGTGCTCTCCCACAAGTGAGTAGCTCAGAGTCTGCTTTTAGTAAGTTGACTTGTTTTTGCATTATAGGAAATTGATTATTGTGATACGAAATAATTGAGTTCTCTGCTTAAGACTCAGTAAGTGTCAGGCTTACTGTTGCATTGCTGCTTGGAGGTGGGGGATAGTTCAGTGTCAATGTATTTTGAAATGGCATAGTGTATAACAGTTTCCTTAGAAACTTTAAGTGTGAAACATTGAGTGGGGTCAGAGCTGATGTACAAAACAGCTCATTTCATAAACACGTGAAAATCCTTTTCAAGACTAAACTTGGCTGATGGACCTAAATGATTGTTTTCATAAAGAGGGAATGGAGACAGAGACACTGTACTTGTTCCCTTTAGCGTGTTACCACCTGGGTAAATCTAGTAAGGTCTCTTTTAGATAGGAAGAGGTAATGCTTTCTTGTGCTTCAAAAAAGGTCCCCTCTCTGACAGAAAATAACTTGCCACAAAGACTTTGTTCTCTTGAAGAATGTGAATTCCTGTTTAAACAAACCCATAAACAAATGCTTTTTTTAACAGATGATTCCTCTTGCCCCAAATGTTCAAACCAAACTGTACTTTAGGGCAAGGTGGGGAGTGTTAAAGATTTAGGATTCTGCTGGTAACTTATGGTTAGGAATGGTGTGTTTTTTACCTGAATATTGGGTGAATGTTGTTACAGCAGTGTCTGTTCACATGCCTCCTGGTATTGTCAGGGGGCTGTAAGAAATGTGGCTTGAAACAAATGATAATCAGGCCCAGTCTCTTTTGAGGTGCTTTTGAAACTTCTCATTGTTAATGTGAATGGCTGGGGTGCTTTCTCTTCACCTGCAGGCAACCTGTACATATTCTTCAAAGGAACCAGCTAAATTTAGCTCTTAAGATGGAACCAGGCCTGGACTCATCCAAACAGTCGAGCTCGTGTGACTGTGACATGGTAGCTTCCAGCGGCTGTTCAACAAATGAAAAAAGTGAAGCAGATGAAAATGAGCCAGACGTACCGCGCGGTGCGGATCTATCCAACACAGACATAATGAAAATTAAAGAGCTAAGCATAGGCGATAACAAAAGCCATGAAGACTGTACTGCTGTGAGTGTGAGCAAAGAACCCTCTAGAGAGCTTGGCAGTAAAGACTCAACTGCAGAACTGAACGGTAATGGTAAAATTCCCAACAGAGACAGTGGCATTGACAGCCCTTCTTGTAGCGTGGCAGGGGAAACTTTCCCCAACGAAGAAGGTGCAGAGCAGAAGAAGCCCGGTGTGTCTGGGAATCCGGGGGAGATGGAACCTGACAAAAAGAGCACCAAATCTTCCTCTGCAGAGCAGAAGAGAGACTCCACACAGGATGAAGACAGTGATATTGATGAAGGAAGTAGCGAGGAACAAGAAACAGCAGAAGTGCCAAAGTTAGAGTATATGGATATAAACAAGGTAAGGTGGTTTAACGTTACTTCACCTGAAGCCTGTTTCTGACTCTTTCAGAGATCCCTTGCATCACTTTTGTGTGTTTGGGATTTTTTCTTTGCTCTTATGTCAGAGGATCATGACAGACCTTGATTTCCTGCTCAGTTTGGGTCATAGCTTGTTCCTGTTCTAGACTGTATCTGTTAGAAAGGTTTCCAGTCTTAATTTAAAAGGTTCCTTCTTATGAGTGTGCATCAGAGGCAGAGACAAGTTGTTAAAACTGAAGTTCCATTTGTAGGTAAAGACTTGGACCCTGTGTTTTTTGTTTGAATTTGTGCAGGTTTGGCTCCTACTTACTAGGTCACGTTGTTTGCAGTGGGACTCCATGAGATGACATGCTAATTGGATAGTTAATCTTCCAGGCTCAGGGCCTTATATTCTGGAAGGACACGCACATTGGAAATCTCACTTAGCAGTGTATATATATACGTAATTTTTTTTAAAGGAGCCTGTGATTCTGTTAGTGTGGCTACTTTTTGAATTCAGAAAGTTATTTTGAGGGTATTCTGTGGAAAATAAGGGGGTCCATGCTGTTGTATATTTGCTGCATCTGTTTAACGTTAATGGCATTCCTTTGATTATCTGTTTATCAGGACAGTTACATTTAAAAATAGGTTAGACTTTTCATTACAGGAAAACAAGATGCTTCAAGCAATATGTCTGCAAAATATTCCCCTTCTTGATTTTTTTTTTTTTTCTTTTTTTGTTTGTGTTTGGGTTGTTTCTCATTTGGACATCATGAGAGTACGGTTTGTGTTCAGAACAATACCATGAGCACTAACAGCCAGACTAGTGAATTGTAGTGCTCACATCTCAGTGCAAATGGAGTGGTTCTGCTGAGGTCACAGAATAAATCCTGAGTTATGTACATCAAGAGTTTGTCCCTCTGGGAGAGGTGACAGTTTAAACTCATTTGGTAGCTCCTAGATCAGATCAACCAGTATTACAGAGTGATGAAATTGTATGCAAGTATGTGATGTGCTTGAAGTTCTGTCATTCAGTGCTGACAGCTGTAACTTCAGAGTAAAATTAAAGCTCTGTGATGTCCCCCTTTTTTCCAAGCAGACAGTGTGCTGAGACAAACACACCTCCAGGGAGGTACGAAAAAGCCCCGGAACTTCTCCAGTGAATGCACTGCTTTATGCTGCTGTCCTTTCTCTTTATTACAAGCTCAGGCTTGTGTGACTAGAGTCACATTCCCTTCACATGGCTCAAACACCAGCATTGTTGCCTGGGACAGGTGTTGCCCATCCAATACTTAATTGCTGCTCCTTTTGCAATTTCGGTGCATGTCAAACTTATTGAAATTGACTGGTTTTACCACCCTAGCTTTACACATGATGGTTCTGTTAGACAACAGAAAGAATTGAGACTTAATATTGCCAAAGTGCTGCGTAACTAAGAATCAGTCTCTCAAAGAGGAGACCCTTCTCCTGCTGCCCAGTTGCTGCCTGGGTGTGTGTGAGGTAGGGGTTGCTGCCTGCCTGGAGCATGCTGCATGTTGGCAGACCCAAGTACCACAGACTCAGATGAATTCCCTTAGGTCTGTCAGGTACCAGTGGGAGTTCAGCAAGAGGAAAGGATAGAAACACTGATTTTGGTGTCATGGATACCATTGGTGTCACAGAAATAGCTGACCTGAAAGCAAAACTTGAGAGTTTATTCTGGCAAGTAGTCCTTGTCAAAGTGAAAGTTGTTTGTATCCTTGTAAAGGAACCGACACTTTCCATCCCAATTGCACCAACTTCCATTTGTTCAGCTAGTAGTGTTTCATCCTAGAGGCTCCAAAGCACAGCAGAGCCTCAGCTCAGGTGTCAGGATCTCCAGGGTCTCTTTTGACTCCATCCAGGAGGGAGCCTGAGCACAGTTCTCATTGCTCACCCCTGCCACCATTTGTTAGGACTCGTGGACTGGAATGCCATAAAGCATCCTGCAGACTGGGGAGTAGTGAGGGCCATGAGAGCTGGGTCTGCTTGGCAAACCTGGGTGCTTGCTGTATATGGAGAGGATGTGATCTCATTTGCCTTCCTGCAGATCTGCAGTCTCACCTGGTAGCTGGTGGGGATGGCAGAGGAGCAGCCTGTCAGCTGGGCAGGAAGGCTGCAGGGCAGGCAGCCCGCGTCCTGCGCAGGAATAATCCATGGCAATATGAGATGGGATCCAGCAGGACTGCTGGTCTGCCCTGCCAAGGGAAATGTGTGTTGTATGCAAGAAATCAGTGTGGGGGATCCTCCAGAAAGCTATTAGTGGGAAAGATTCTTATTACCATCTGCTAAAACTTAGTTTGTGTCCATTAACATCTGGTATCTCTTCAGTATTCCACTAGTGTAAGCTCATTTACATCTCACATCACAGGCGTCACCATCACAGTGCATGGCTTCTGGTCTGCTGCTGTTCACTTTCCTTTATGTGTATCTTCATACATAAACACGTATACTATGAAATACTTCAATTATTTTATCTTCATAATATATGTATATAGGTATTTGTGCAACTAAAGTATTATTTAAAAAAATTATTACTTGCAACATATCAGCAAGAAAATGATGAATAATGATTGGAATGATTCTTTAATCTGGGCATTAGATTTCCTTTTCGAGTTAGGCATGCAGTATAAAAGCAGCTGTGGCAAGCCCAGGTGGAAGACTTTACAGTGTCATTAAGAAGAGTTTTACTGATAAATATTACAAATAATTACTGGTCTAAGACATTGGAATTTTGATGGATGTTTTTAAATAGTGCTCCTTAGGCTAAATGTCCATATAGTGTGAAATAATGCAATTAAACACTGAGTTACGTGGTCATATTTGTCAGTAGGGTGCTTAATGAATTTCTAAAAGGGCAAGATCTCTAGAGGAGGAAATGCTCTGTTTTCTTGTGTTCCTTTTTTTCCTATTGGGACTTCTCATCTGAATGAGTATCGGAGGACAGGTGTGACATTAATGTGATGTACTTCAGGTCTATCCTTGCAGTTTGGGTTGATTTCAGTTTTGAGAAGGCTGTTTTGACACTGACCACAAGAAGTGAGCCCAGTTTTATGGCCACGTGTGGGGAAAGGCTTAAAGACATGCTGCCTCTCCTTCAGTGTAAGGATTGTGCCCTCTTCTGGGGACACAGCGTGCACCAGCTCAAGATCAGGTGTAGCCAACTGGTGTGTTACATGTTCACAGCACCCTCTCAGTCTGCCCTCTGGTTCTGATGCAAATCTGGATGCTGCAGAGTGAGTCTGTAAGGGTACAGAGCCATGGCTTCCAACAAGCATGATTCAGTTTGAAGCTGCCTTGTTATGTGATTGCTCTGAGTTCACATCACCCTTAAGAAAGCGGGGAGTTTTCCAGAAAGCAACATGCCAGAACGGCTGGGAAGAAGAGCTCAGTGAGCACCCACGTTGGTGTGTGAGCAGGAGAGACCCTTTCTTCCTCCTGGGTTGTCCCAGGGCAGGCTGTGTGTCAGGGCTTTGTTCCTGCCTCCCCTTTCCCGCTGCCGGTACCGGCTGCAGCTGCGCGGCGGAGGTAACCAGCGCTCTCATTAAACAGTCACGTTTTCCAGAGAGCTTTGTTGTAGTTGGAGGAGGATGCATGGGAAGTACAGCTGCAGAATGATTTAACGATGGCTCACTGATTCCTGGGGTATTGCGTTAAGCGAAGTTCATGAATAAACATTAGTAGAAAAAGAATCGTATTTGCTTTTCTCCTCTCTAGATTTGTACTTCAGAGCGCTGTCTATCACCCGAGCTTTCACACATCCCTTGGCTGGTGAAGTCATGCTGCCTGATGGATGACTTGCATTGTTTTATTTAGTCTGGGTTCAGCTCTGCAGTGTGGTGTGGCTTCCTTTGGGAGTCTGCAGCGCAAGCTCACAGATCTCACTGTTAGCACACAATTATTGAGATACGTTTTAAATCACGGGAGTGACTTGCTGGGATTTCCAGCAATCTTTTATCAGAATGAGACTGAACAAGGGGAGCTTATTAGTTTTGATAATGTTTCAGAAAATGTCAGGAGCTCTGAGAACTGAGGCATGTTAGCCTTGATGGGTACAAAAAAAGCAATGACAAAAGCATGACTGATGCCTCTGTCATCCAAGGTTCTGCTGACCGCCACTGCCTGGGAGCAGTGGAGTGATGCTGCTGAGATGGGTAATGCTTTCTCGTGTCCTTTTGTTCAGATATTTTTCACTAATAGTAACGTGTGCTCATTAATAATCATAAAAAAATGCCTTTCTCCATCTGTCCCACTTCATGAGAACCTGCTGTGTAAAATAATGCTGATAATGGAGAGCCCCCCTGGGCCTCGTACAGTCACTGACGTGTTCCTGTTCTGCCTGTACCTAGCTGGAGTTGTGCTTCTGATTTCACAGTGCAGTTTGTGTTGGAAAACGTGACCTGCAGTCCTGAAAGTCAGACCTCTGGGTAAGATTATCTCCACGTGTATTTGGGAAAAAAAGATTTTGACTTGGCCTTGAAGAGGATATGAAGTGATTATCTGCACTTCCTGATTTGACACTAGGGATTGTGGCCAAAGTAATCGTTTTCTTATGAGAATCTGTGGAGGCCTCCTGATTTGGTGCATCAGTTGGCTTACAGCAGGTTAGTGGGGGAGCTTTGTTTGGGAACTTTCTGTCTTGTTTCCTGATTCAGTGATACTTTGCAAGCCTTTAGATGAACCCGCACAAGTTAGCCACTGAGCGAACCAGTGTAGCCAGTCATAGAGCACAAGTTAAGAAAAATTGGATACGTTCTTGTCTTCACTTTCGTCGAATATGCTGAATAAAGTAAGATCTCAGCACTACAAAAAAGCCCTGCAATACAACAACTTTTCCATATTGCTTTAACGTTTTTGCTTAGGAAGTTGTCTATGGTCTTTTTGGGACCTTCTGCAGAGGAAGGAGGGCAACAGGTTGGCTTGAGCCCACCACCCTGTTCCAGGCAGCCACAGCTTGAAGGAGGGCAACCAATGCCTGCAGCCCCTTCTCCCAGTGCCTGGCACCTGGTGGGCAGCTGGTCAGACTCTCAGGAAGCACTGATGTGCTTGGGGCCCTTCATTGCACAACAGTGTCTGCTGTTACTCTCTTTGTGTCTGTGATTGGCAAATTTACGCGTTTGCGGGGGCAGATGTACTCCCACTGCAGGTGGGAATCTGCCCTTTTATGAGAACCTCGTGCTGGTGGTGCATTTCCTTTATTTTAAAATGTTTTATGGACACAAGTAAAGCTGAAAACGAACTGTTGGACCTTCAACACAGAAGTGAAAGAGCATCACGCAACTGCTGTTCCAGGCACTGCAGTGAGCTTCCTGTGTCACAAATAAGCACCCACAATTCCCTTTTCTCATCTTCCTTGTCACTCCGCCAGCTCAGCTGCTCTGAAAAGGTCCTGCAGCGGTTGTACAGCTGTCGTGTGGGACTGTGGTCCTGCCGAGTGGTCATGGTGGGCAAAGGAGGAGGAAAACGTATTTACAAAGAATAAAACAGCTTAGAATTCATTTTAAGTGGAAAGCTGAGTATTTTATTTGCCATGTCATTTACATGCACGCTTTTTCTGCAGGGCTCTATTAGGAAAGCTAAATGTGCTTCACCGGTCCCCTGTAGCAGTCACTCAGATCATGTGCAGTTTGTACTGTAAGCTGAGTGTGTTTGATAACAGCCACCTGCATGGGCAGAGGCCTGGTTACCAGATGCCTGTTCTGAGTAGGCTGGAGACGGTGACAGCCCCAGATACCCGGCCCCTTTGAATTGGTGCAAAATCAAGTATGTGGTGAGTTCTCCTATGAAGAAAGGTTGGGGGAACTGGATTTGTTTAGCTTAGAGAATAGAAGGCTCTGGGGAGACCTCATTGTGGCCTTCCAGTACTTGAAGGGAGCGTATAAACAGGAAAGGGAACGGCTGTTTTCGAGGGTGGATCATGGAGAGGAGAAGGGGAATGGTTTTAAACTGAGACGGGAGGCTTAGGTTGGATATTAGGAGGAAGTTTTCACACACAGGGTGTGAGGCACTGGAACAGGTTGCCCCAGGAGGCTGTGGATGCCCCATCCGTGGAGGCATTCAAGGCCAGGCTGGATGTGGCTCTGGGCAGCCTGGTCTGGTGCTTGGCGACCTGCACACAGCAGGGGGTTGAAACCAGATGATATTTGTGGTCCTTTTCAACCCAGGCCATTTTGTGATTCTGTGATTCTCCTTGCTACTGGTTCACTTCAGGTTAGTGATGTTAGGTGTGTCTCAAGTCTCCTTAGGTTGGGCATGCTGTGTCTCTGATTTCTTTGTTACCCCAACAAGAGGACTCTTTTCCCCCAGCCGTCTTTGTTGCCAAAGTCATTACGCTGAAAGCCTGTTCACTTCAGCAAGCAGGACTCCTTCGATTCCTGTCAGACTGTAGTTGAGTTAGTAAGTGTGAACAGAGACTTACATAAAGCTGTTACATAAGGAATATAAATGCGTTTCAGTTTGCATGCTTTTAGTTTTCCTTCGAAACGAAGGAAACACAGACCATGAAATATGTTGTCCATATTCCCTGCTGTACAGCTCTGCCTGTGTCAAATCTGTCCTTCCAAGAACACAACGCAGGATGGTTGGAGCTGGGCTGTCCTCGTAATTCACTGCATCAACTATTTTAAGTACAATGTTATGTCAGTTAAAAGGTGAATAAGTTGCAGATCAGTCTGAAAAACATGCCTGTCTGCCACTAGCAGAAGGAGCAGCTGAAGATGATCTTGCCTTAAAACGTAATGCTCAGCTCAGGCTGATATTGTGCTCGGCCGTCGTTTAGTCCTCGAGCAGATGTCAGCAAGATTTTTGTAAGTATAAACTCAGTTGCAGATGGTGAAGGTCAGGAGGTTAGAAAGTGCCTGTGCTATGTAAAGATTTACTTTTGAGAGCGAATGTATTTGGTTGAAAATAATTATTTTTCAAATTCAGAACTCAAAAAATCAGAGGATGTTCTGGGTGCTGGCGTGCCAGCCGGATGACATCAGTGCCTTTCATTCAGGCACTCAGCAAATCTGGCAAGTAAATTCTTTCTCAGCAAGAGATCCCAGTTATTGGAATCTTAATGGCCAGCAGTGTCTTTCATTATAATCTATAATAAGCTGTGTTTCTCCATAACGGCTTCAAAGCATTGTGCTGTGCCTTCTTTTCTCCCAGAATATTAACGTATATCATATAGTCACTCAATCCAGCATTTCCAATACAGCAAAAGTCCTCACTGTCCCTTGGTTGCTGCTTCTGTCACAGAGCTGTAGGTACTTGGGCTAAGTGGTACCTTATTTTGTGTAGGGTAGCTGTGGGCCTGGTTTGCTTGGATTCATGGCTAGCTTTGAAAAGGCTTTCAGGTCTTTTGGTTGCACAGCAGTTTGTCTGAATGTGTTTTTTAATTTAAATTTGTTTCTTTTTGACTTTGTACGTAATCAAAACAAGATGGCATTGAAGAAGCTTAAAGAGAGAGTTTCAGTGACACTTTCTAGCCATGTTGTGTGTCTAGTGAGGGGCTGGCAAGCAGATGGAGATAGGTGTTAGGGACAGAAATCTCTGCTGCTGCTGGGGGCCCAGGTACTTCCTGGAGCAGAAGCAGGCTTTGTTTTTAATTGACTTCAGCTGAACTCATTCTCTGCGGATTTGTCCGGTCCTTTTGTGAGCCTGTGGGAACCTTTGCTGCCTGCTGCTCTGTGTGCTCCAGGGCTGTGCACACAGGGATGTGGTGCTTAGGGAAGCAGCTCTTGGTCTTGAAGCAGCACTTCAGTGGTTTGATTTGATGCAGTCAGTTCTCCAATGCAAGCAGTGGTGAATAATTGCACCAAGCTGTTGCTGTCTGTTCCATTAACTGTTTATACATCTCTCTAACCTACATCACAGTTGTCTTTTTCCCAGCTCCAGCCCATTGAAATTTCCTTACCCTTTACTATCCTTGCTGCCCCTTTCCAGTGTTGCACTCCTGTTTCTACCAACCAGCCCTCAAGTCTGGAACACAGTTTTGATTTGATTACATGTAGACATGGAGTTTGAAGTCTAGACTTTCAAAGGTATCTAGAGTTTGTCAGAAAGCTAGAGCTGGTGTCACCCTAATTCAAGTATTTCTAAACACACAGGAAAGCAAGAGTCTGTGGAGTCTGTGTAAGTGGTGAAGTAAGTTTATGCCTCCTAGTTGTATTCAAGCTTCTGATTTAGTTCTTATTTATTTATTTTAATGAGCACAGTGTAAGGCTTTGCTGGGTAATTTCAGTTACACTGCTGAAACTGGTGAGTGTTTAAAGCTGCACAGAGCTCATAGAAATATAGCAGAGAGTAACCTTGCACTGTCTGGGGAGTGTGAAGTGTGCCCAAACAGGTCTTTTCTAGTTTCTGTTTGTTTTTGTATGCATGACCCAAGTTAAAAATTGAGAACTGTTAATTTGCAGTCTAATGTCTCAGTAACCAAATAAACTAGATATATCTCCAGATTTAGTGGATGTTTCCAAAAAACAAAAAAAACCCAGAAAAACAGAAAAACATATCAAATGAAAACACAAAGAAATAAAGTGATGTCCTCTCCAGCTTTCAGAAAATGGCTTAAAAAAATCTCTCTAAGGCAAATTGATCCTTTGGTGAGAAGTGTGGAGCAGATTCTGAAGTGTTTTATGCTCCTTCACTTTGGGCTTCTTATCGGCAGGGCGTTTGACCCACGGAAGAATGGGAGGGAGGACGGTTGGTGAAGGTTAGTTGTGCTGGAGCAGATGGATTCTGTTATTTGTAACTTCTTTTTTTTCTTTCTTTTTTTTTTTTCTTAACAGTGTACAGAGCCCCAAAAGCTATTCAACATTGCAAATGAACTGCTCCATACAGAAGAAGCGTATGTTAAAAGACTCCATCTGTTGGATCAGGTAATTCAATTGGATGGTATATGTAATTATTATATAAAGAAAAACATGAATGTGCAGTAAGAGCAAAGGAAAAATGAAGATGATTAACGTTGCTTAAGAAAAAAAGAGACAGGGCAAACTGTCACCTAGTTAGAAATCTTGTTAGAAGCTGCAGCCTTCAGAGAGTCATTTAGCACCATCCAACCCTACAACCTGTGTGGAAAGCTTTCCAGTGTTTGCTTTGGATGAGCAAAGGCTGTTTCAAGACCCCTAGAAATCCAGGGAGTGTCTTTCACTTTTGTTCAGTACAGTGTGATTTTCCTACAGAGAAACAAAATAATCAAAGCGTTGATTTTGCTTCGTGTAAATAACAGTAAGTGCTCTTCAGGGACTGATTCTTCTTTGCAGCTTACACTCCCAAATACAAGATGTCTCATCTTCTCAGTAGTTTCAATCTGTTTGACTTACAACCACCCCAGACATTTCTAATGGAGAAGTAAGCCCTTATGCATAAATCTGACCCTGTTTGACAATGGGCTTATGTTTAGTGAAACTCCTGAGAATGCTTAAGCTGGTGATCCCCAGGGACTGAGTGCCAGAAGTCAGATGTTGTGGCTCTGTTCTGAGGCAGTCAGCTTTGCAGTACTACAACCTGATGCCGCCGTGTTCAGGATTTTTTAAACTCTGTGTTGGTACTGTCTTGTCTCATGCAGGTGTTTTGCACTAAGTTGTCAGAAGCAGGTATTTCATCTGAAGTGATAACGGGCATCTTTTCAAATATTTCTTCTATCTATTGTTTCCACGGACAATTTCTTCTTCCTGAGCTCAAAACAAGAATTACACAAGAATGGTGGGTAACTGTCAGTACAATTACTTTTAAAATACATTTTCAAGAAACTTTAGTGACCCGGGCATCTGATTTTATTCCAGCATTTTTAGTTGTTTGATGCAGTAGTTCACTTGTTGTTTAACACATTAGCATGGAGTCTCTTAAACCTCTTTTATCTCTATTGTTCCTGAATACAGTAGACCTGAGCACTCAGCATTTCTACAGTACTTTGTGAGAATTTTATTCCAGACCAGAGTACTATTGGAGCTGTTTTTCTTACTGTATTTCCACTATCCTTGTTTTGCAGTACTGTGAAATTGTAGTACTAGGAAAGAAACAAAGTGCTTATTTTGCTCCATGGATGATCTTGTCCCCAGTGTGAAATACTGAAAAATATGGATATTTTCCAAAGAAGGACACATCATCGTATCACAGTCTGGACTCTGCGTGCCGTGTTGGAGACTTCATGAGACACATCCATTTGATATTTTAATGTAGTGATTATGTAAAATTCACTGTTATAAAATTAGCATTTTATCAGCCAAACAAAGGAAAATCTAGAAAGATAAGATAGACAGCCTTGTGCCCATGAATGAGTTTACATCTGTTACGCAGCTGTTTCTATTGTAGTTTAGTACCACAGTATTGGACAAGATCTCACCCAATAATTTGCTGGCCTTCTGTGAAATAATAAATATTATTTGTTACACTGTACATACACTTTCTTTAAGAAAATAGTTCTTTTTTTAATGTAAGTAATAATAGTCAAATATCAAAATTTGGCAACTGTAGTAAGTTTTCACCTTTCTGCCTATCACTCCATTTAATTGCAATGCAGATGTAGGACCCTTGACTTGGGATGATGCTCTGGCTGCAGAATGCCCTGCAGTGGAAGGTGCTAATAATGCTGATGCTGCACCTTATTTCATATTAAAGTCAACAAAGTTGACCTTTTCAGCTATCCCAAATGATGAAGTCAAGATATGAGCTCCCATCCCTCTTGCTAGAGTCCAGTCTTCTTCTCATAGGTCATCAATATCCATAAGAAATAAAAAGTGTCAGCACCTTTGCACTCGACCTGTGTCTACAGGGAGAGATATAATAAAGGAAAGGAAAACTGGAGAGACTGGAAGTCAGGGCAGGGCATGAACTCATTCCGTGGCTAAAGGACAGTAGTGTAAACAGACTGTGAGTCAGGAGTTCAGCGAGGAAAGCTGGGGAAAAAATGGAAGGGAATCTTAAACTGGTTCTGTCAAGAGGACTGGAACATGAGAAAATTGGATATGCAGCTCTCATTGTCGTTTACACATGTAGCTCCCGTAGAGGCCCTCTGGATGTCTCCCCATAAATGACAGCTTCAGCTTTACCTGGCTCTTCAGTGGGTGCAGGCTGTGCTGCTGAGAGGGGAAAGAGGGTGCAGGGTGGCTGTGCTGCCACAGCTCCCCAGGGATACTGCAGTATCTTTGTAGTATGAATCCAGCAAATCACAGCAATTGTTTTTTCCTATGTGCAATTTAACTAAAAACGCAGATCTGCAGAGGAAAGCAAATGGATTTCCTTGCCTGGAACTGTGAACTTGGGCAGAGCTGTTGGTACTAATGGGGACTTTGTAGGTCTCCAGGCTCATCTGAACTTCCTGCTGCTGCTTGGTAGTACCAAACACAAGCAAGGGCCAGCCTGGTGTGGTGCTGGACTGGGAGATGCCAGCCCAGATGTGTTCCTGGGTTCCATGGGTGGGTAGGAGATAACAGTAGAAGTCTGTTATTGTGTATTCTCTCTTAAAATAGAATTGATTTTCACAGATTTCTGTACTTAGCATTCTCTTTCCAATAGGAGTGTGAACCCACGGTTAGGAGACATCCTGCAGAAACTGGCTCCTTTCCTGAAGATGTATGGAGAATATGTGAAGAACTTTGACAGGGCAATGGACATGGTGAATACGTGCATGCAGAGGTCATCTCCTTTCAAAGATGTTGTTCAGAATATACAGGTATGTTGTTAACTAGCTTGATGTGGCGTTGAGATCCTCATTTATTTTATTTCCAGTGCATGGCAGTGTTTTGCTACAGGGTGGTACTATTTTAGAATTAAAAGAAATACAATTTTATTGGCAGATTTTTCTTCTCTTTTTCCTGTGCAACACAGAGTTTTCACATAGTTGGCTTTTTCTCCCCCTTGAGTATTCAAGAGGAGAAGTGGAAGTAAAAGAATGAAACTTAGACATTTGCCTGTCAGTTTTGACTATCTTGGAATTCTGTATTTGTTACCTACGTATGTCCTGGAATGTGAGGAGAATGGGGTGAGTTCTCTCCTTAAGGGAGAGAGTGAGTGTATTTTCTGTTCATACTTACACAGCGGAATGGAGAATTATTGGTGGCTCAGTCCTTCCTGTGCACTTCTGTGCCTCTTTAGTGGGTCGCCGTGCCTTATGTGCTACCTTATGCAGGGCACCCTTTGCTCTGATACTCAACATATCCACCTGTAAACTCATTTTCTCATTACTAATTCTAAGTGTTGCTTTTTAACGTGGACATTTTCCTTCTGAGGCTGATGCTTTTGACTTTGGCTCATCACTGGCGGCACCACCTGGAGGAAGCTGTCGGGGTTTCTGACGCCCTTGTTGATCTGGTGTTTCTGAGGTTCACTAAGCTGTGCGTGGTGCTAGAGGGCCACAGCTCTGCCAGAGGGTGCTTAGCATGGATTTTCATGTGATCATACTCGTGAGGAAAGCTGTGTGGGGAGGAGGAAGAGCTCTGCTTACGCTAGTGTCAGTAGGACCTGTCTGAGGCACTGGTCCAGCTGCAGGATGCAGGCCTGCAGGCATCTCTCCGCAGGTTCTGGAAGTGTGGACCATCCTTCAGGGGAGGTGAGGCCTGGCAGGGAGAGGGTTAAGCTGAGCAGGGAGCACAGCTGCTGCCCTAAATGGGAGCTTGTCGGCTGGCCAGCTGTCGGGAATCAAGTAATCCCAGCAAGCTGGGAGAGGAGAGGCCCTGTGCAGAGGGTAAGGGCTGCCGGCCTTCTCAGACAGAAGCTCCCTCTTGGAAGAGCAGAGGAAAGGCAGCAGGAACTGGGAAATCTCTTCTTCTACCAGACTCTCACTGTATGTGGCCTTTTCTTAACCTTTTTCTGTCTAAATCCAGCCTGTTCTCGCTGAGGCTCTGTGCAGCTAAGTGCATCTGTTGGCTGGAATTTGAGCCCAGGCACTGCTGGGCCCCTGGGGCTCTGGCTTCTCTGCAAGGGGCTCCGCGGCCCTCCTCACCTGCCTGCTGCCCCCAAGGACTCCGGCTGGGCTCCCAGCACTCCCTGCCTGACCTGGTCCCGTGGAAGGGGGAAGCAGAGGCACAGCTGGGCTCTGGAGGAAATTGGGCCTCTTCTAGTGCAAGCACTTAGAAGAACTTGTGCTTTCAGTGTGCGTGGGCATTTTGCTGTCTTCTGGCATGCATTTCTGAGGGATAATTTAGTTAGTAACTGTTCTCTCTACAGCATAGAGAGCTGCCCTCCCTGAAATTCTGTATCTGCACTGCGTACCATCAACACAAATAATTCCTCTTAGCTGCCTCTGTGCAAAACACGTTGGCAGCTGCCCAAGACCATGTGCATCTTTTAGCAGAACTTTGGCAGGCAGTGTTAGGGCAGAGGATGCAACAGGAGATTTGATTCTGAAGCCTACTGATGGCAGTATTTCACTGTAGGTTATTTTAGCTCTGGCATCACAGCACCTTCTGCTTCTGTTGTGAGTATAGTGAGTTTAGGAGAGATTTGTCCTGAAAGGCTTAGTTAACTCATCTGGCCTATCTCTGTGCTACCTGGAGCCACAGGTACTTTTACAGGCAACCGATGTCCTTTGAGTCCTCTCTCCCTGCTACTCAAGGAACTGCTGTAGCCTCTGTTAATAGAACTACAGCAGAAGTCTACAGTGTATCAGAAAGTGGTGGTTTAGCGTATGGAAAACTTCAGCCTGATGTTCTGGTTGTACTATTTGTATATACAAATGATTTTGCAGTTGCATTTCTATTGCAGAGGAGCTGCCGTAGGCTTTTACATCTCTCCATGGCATGGAACAATTACTGCAGGGTTCTTACAGTGTACAGAATTACATACAGGATGCGGAATTGCATTTATGTGACTCCTCTTACGACCTTCAGCTTTACATTTCAGAATACCAGTAGAAGCCTGCTGTGATCCTGCAAGAATGCAATGTCTGCCCCAGCTGTTAGTGGAGTACTTACACAGGCATTCACATTTATTAATTACACTAAATGAGAGCAAATAGAAAACAAAAAATCACATAGGAGTTATGTGAATGGCTGCAACTTGTCAAGCTTACTTTAGCTGTTCTTAAAGACAAACATTCTATCTGTATGTTTTGCATCCACTTACTGTGGTGAAAACCTGATAGCTGCTAAGTTTATTAGGACTCTTCTTTTGTCAGTTTTCTAGTTAAGCCATCAAAAAAAAGAACTTTTTCAATCTATATTTGTATGTTTCGGATTGTTATGTGAACTCATTAAATGCAGAACGAAAGTTTATCTTCCCTCTTGAATTGTAATGCAAACTCTGTAAAGTTTCAGAGATCACGTAATATAAAAGTTCTCATATTTGGGACACTTACTTTGTGTTTGCTGGCTTTTTGTAGAAGATTCATTGGGCACATTCATTCCAACTGACATGAGTCTGGAATTGACGTCTTCCTCTGCTTCCCTGTTGTTCAGTGTTAGGGTTCATTGTGTTGCAGGAATACAATACAATGGAGGCTATATTAGTAAGTGGATTGGGGAATGTTACAAACCAGGGACTAAGGCAGTTGTGCAAATCTGTGTATCTGTGCTTCCTGGAATCTCAGATTCTTTCCATCCCAGTTGTATTTTCTGGGAAATGTGCTGTAAAACTCGAAGAGATAATAAATTCACTTAATCTTCTATAAACAGAAATACTGTTCAGTATGCTATGTTTTTGTTTTTGTTTTTTTAAAACAAATTTATATCTTGAAATTTCCAGAAGGGTAGCTAATGTTTTTCTACCAGACAGTCATCTCTTTATCTCCAGGCTTTGCTTCAAGAATGAGGCAAGTCAGCATTGTGTCTTGGACTGTGATATTTATGTGGAAAACTATACATACCTGAAACAAGTGCTTTTTTCTGAGAAAAGAATACTGAATTAACGTGGAGGGGCTGCTTACGCTGAAACAAGACATGGCATTAGTGAGCTGACGTACAAATAATGGTCTGGAGAAGGCTGTGTGTGCGTGTGGTTAAGATGCTGATGCAGGATTCAGGAATGAGATAGTATCATTAAGAGAAACTTTTTGTCTACTTAAACACCAGTCAGTTATTTTTCAACTGTGTTTCTCATTTCTCCTCCCACTCCTTATAGAAATATCACTTCATAGAGATTCTATGAGAATAAGCAATGCGAAACTCAGTGCTGTTTCAAACAGAGCAGTTCAGTGCCTTATTGGGTAATATTTAGTGTAATCAGTCCTAAAGCTAACCTCTTCCTTGGTCAAGTGAAATGAGAGAACTCGGGGTAACTGCTTCCGAGATGGTGTGTGAGCAGTGTATCTGCTGCTCTAACAGTTAATTGTATACAGCAAGCAGTGTGTCTCTGTGGAGGTTCTGGTTTTATTTCATCCTTGAGGGCAGTGGGGGGAGGGAATACCATGTGTGGGAAGGACTTTTCTGAGTGGGTGAGAAAACACACAAAATGTAAAATACAAGATGTTGTGTATCTGCAGAAAATGCCAGAAATAGGAGACAAAGACCTGTCAGCTCTGATAGCTTGGGAAGTTTTTTTTGTGCTCCTCTAACTATGCGGGTCATTTTTCATTGCTGTTTTACACCAAAGATGACCAAAGCCTTCTGCCTTCTGCAGTTGTTTTCTCTCCATTACAGAAGCAGGAGGTGTGTGGTAACCTGACGCTGCAGCACCACATGCTTGAACCTGTGCAGAGGATTCCTCGTTACGAGCTTCTCCTGAAGGACTATCTAAAGAAACTTCCAGAAGAATCTCCAGACAGGAAAGATGCTGAAAGTACATGTAAACTCCTCTCTGTCTAATGAACACAATAAAATCCTGGAGAGTGTTCTTTTCTTCACATGTTCAGATACTTCAAGCTAGGGCTGTGGTAGCAACGGAGAGTTGAATTTATCAAATTACTGTCCAAATTAATACAAAGGGATTTTGGAATTCTTGAAGAAGTGTGCTGATATGTCAGCTCAGGCACTGAATGGAAATTTAGCAAGTGTTAGTGACAAAGTATTGAAGCTTGTAATGGCAGAACATCTGGAATTTTTATTTAATCAGGTGTATACCCAAAGACAAATGTAGGAGGATATCCTTGTAATAGCTGGAAGAGGAAAATACGAATGGTTTTATAAGCATGTATTCTTCCTAGGACTGCAAGTTAGACTGTTAACAAAGAGAAACAAGGGATGTATTTCGGTTGGTTTCTAGGAGTTCTTGTTTCTTTCAGAAGTCTAAAGGTAAAGTTCACGTTACCGTTGAGCACGCAACTCTGCTTTAGGAAAACACACTTAAAGCATGCTTGTAAGGACTTGAAGAACTAGGCTGTAGGTAGTTTTTTTGTCACGTGTGTGGTTTTAGGAGAGAAATAGCAAATGATTAGATAGATATCCATGTACCAGTTGAATATGCAAAAGTTATTATGTGTGCAACTGCTTATAAGCCTTCCCTTTAGTTTAGGGAGGGCAGAGTATAATAGTCCTTGCTTTTGCAACAGCAGTATTCAAGGAAAAACACTAATCAGGGAGAAGAAAAAAACAGCTATGCTACACCTTCTTCTGATTGCATCTGGTAATAGCGTGCTTTCTTTATTACAGAATCACTGGAGCTCATATCTACAGCAGCAAACCATTCGAATGCTGCCATCAGAAAGATGGTGAGTAGAAATTGTGTAATAGAATTGTGATATGATGGAAATGCTAGCTTGAACTGATCGTTCTCCATTGCCAGAGGCTCTGCAAAGCAACTCTGGAGAGGATTTTGAAATATGGTGTTATGAGACCTCAAACATCAGTTGGATATCTCAGTTCTCTTTATCATGAATTTTCCTGTTATGGTTACCATGATTTTACTTTCCCAGCCCAGATTTTACTTTCCCTGTTCTTAAGGGGACAATGCATTGAAGAAGAAGGTCTTCATAAAATCATTACTTGCTTTTCACTGAAAATGTTTAAAGTATCTCAAATCAGTCTACTCATAAAGTGTCCTTGCAGATTTTTATGCTGTTTTTAATTTCTTACATCCTTTCTGGCATGGAGGTTGTTCTAGTTGAATTTTGGCTTGTTTTAAATGCACAGAGAAGAGATTAGAGTGTGTCAGTAGTAGCCTTGGTAAGCTATGCTTCAGGTTGGGCAACTTAAGATAATGGAGATTTTGAAGCCAATCATACAACACAAACTCTGCACTTTTTTTCTTACTTTTTTGAGGCCTTTTATGCTGAATATTTGTGTATGTTTTGCATACAGAGCTGCTGCAGTGCTGCCAACAAATTCAATGACTTGATAGTTAGAGATATTACCTCGTTTTTCAGACCAAAGTGCCTCAGGGCCTTCTATATCTTACAGATCTAAAGCACCCCTTATCACGCTTAACACTCTGTGATTGTTCATAGATTACAAGGTTTATCTACTCTTCCATATCAGATCCTTATTTCTTTGTTCTGTCCTTTCAAAACATTGTCTTTATCAAAAAATGTCATAGGATGGAACAGAATTGAAAGGAAGATCCTTCCTATTTTTTTTGTCCTCATTTTGGTTTGTTTATATACATTTGCTTCTTTTCCCCCCCATCTTCCCTTTCAGCCTTTTTATAAATTCTATTTTAGAAACCAAGTGGTTTGAGTTGTTCTTGGTATCAGGGCTGGGCAATAGTACATGATTCTGCCAGGTGCCCTCTGGGGCCGTCAGGATGCCATGAGTCTGCCCTTCCTGGGGCTGTTATGGGAAGTGACCAACTGGTGTCTGTTTTCACTATGTCTCAGAGAGAACCTATTTTGAAACTGTCTACTTCTGTTTAAGTCTTGCATGTTCTCTTGTTCAAGCTAGATTTCAGTGGAAATTTTTCTGGTTTTGGGTTTTGAGCAAGTCCTTAAGTAATGACTGTGTTGCTGGGTCCTTTCTACAACACCTGCACAGGCAACAGGTACATGAAGCCACCAGGCTGTTGCATTCCATGTGGGATGCTTTTCTGGTAGTATGCAAAAAAGGAAAGGCTGCTGTGATAATTCTGTACCCCTTGCTGATCAGAACCTGACGTCTCATTACACTGATTTCTTCTGTGATTAACAGATTTTACCTGAGTAAGGACTCAAATGAACATTATCCAAGTAAGACTTTCAGGTTTGGCTTTGTGGTTGCCCCGTTCCTGCTCTGCTCACTGTTTGCCTGAGCAGCCCCAGCTGTGGGGCACGTCCTGCACACACCTCTGCGAAGCCCTGGAGCAGCTGTGTGGGGTCAGAGCCAAACCAAAAGAAAAGCAAGGGCCATAGCAAAATGTCTGAAGGCTAGCATTCGTGTTGGCTGCTTCCTCCTGTTGTGGAAGAAATAAATCATGCTTCCGAAACGATCTTTTCAAAATATCTTCTCCTAGCTGGACAGATGTCCCTCACATTTTGGACCTGCTCTTAGTATCCCAGTCATTCCTTCAGAAAAGTAGTCTGATGCATTAAGTTTTCTTTGAACTAGTGGAGCCTTTGCCTCATCTTCCAGTTTGTTGGAAAAAGTCTACTGGCCCTCTTAGGTGCTTTCCTTGTTGGAGTCTACCCCCACCTCCATTCCATTCTGTTTTGCAGTGTGTTTATTTAATGAGTGTTATTTGTTTAGTTGTCTTTTTGGTTTGTTTTGATAGGTGAATTGGCTAGCATAGAAATTAGTGTGGTGTACGTTTATAGTGAAATAGTTTGTGTCAAATGGGAATGAGGAAAGACTATGAAGACCTGAGATCCAGCTGAATCTGCATAGAGATTGAGGTGTGGTTTACAGATGTGTTTGGTGGTATTTTCTGAGCACAGTTGCATAGATCTGTCCTCACTTTCTGACCATTTGCTTATAGTACAGTTTGGAGCATATTTGTCCAGCCTGTGGTTGAAAGCAAAATGTTTCCAAATGCTTTTGCTCAGTAGTAAGATTTAAGCACTTTTGCTATTTTGACTTGTTAGAGCTGCTTCATTACTTAATATAGCAGCTGCAAGTGGGTTACTTTTATCCGTTTAAATTCTGTGTAGGACTTTAACATGAAGTCAGCTAAACATTAAGAATAAATACTGCTTTGCTGAGAAGGAAAAGCTAACCCCTTTCATAAAGATTAATGGCTAAGGTGGAAGGATGCAGAATGACATGAAAATATTTTAAAATGTATTTAGGCCTATTTCACAAGCTTATTTTTTGCTATATAGGCACCTGTGTAGGACTGCAGCCGTGGCACTGGGGTTCCCTGTGGAGCTGAGGTTTTACACATAGGTTATAAATTCAGAATGTGATGGTGCTTCTTAAAGGAGACCTACCTACCATTGTGCCAGCAACAGTACAAGAGGTGAAACTTCTCAAAAGCTGAAAAATGATCCTACTGTGGCAGAGTTCTCACTCTGAAATGTTGAGTCGAAGCTGAATTAACAAATTCAGACTTGAAAACAGTTTGGTAACACGCTTGCCTTCAGTTCTTCAAGTGACTTTACTGGACCTCATGATGTTTCTTCCAGTGATATATATTTATTACTGATTATCTAAAAATATCAAATAGATTGATACCAATATGTTGTTTTAAAAAATATCATTAAAGTAGTGTAATCCAGTTATAACTCACAAGTGACTGAGACTGAGAGGGAAAGAGCATTGGAGCATGGAAAAGATACTAATTCTTGAACACAAAGCTAGATCAGAACGGAAAGAATGTTTTCTTTCCTGCTTATTTACTCTTACCACAGAAAAAGATGCTGTGGGTAATAGGCCAAGTGAAATGTATGTATAGATTTTAATTTCTGGGTTTCTGTAACTTCAGGAAAAGATGCACAAGCTTTTGGAAGTCTACGAGAGACTCGGTGGTGAAGAGGATATTGTTAACCCAGCCAATGAGCTCATTAAGGAAGGACACATTCAGAAACTTTCAGCAAAGAATGGCACAGCACAGGATAGGTATTTATTCCTGGTGAGTTTTTTTTATTGCTGCTCTTTTATTTTCAGAGTTGTGCTGTGAATTGATACATTTCCATCTCTCTCATCACCACACAAAAAGCTTCCACTAACTGAGCCCAGCTCTTCCTTCCTCTGAGCAGCAATTTGCTCTTGATGCTTTTTCCTCTAGGATTTCCTTCCTCCTTCCATGCTCATGCCTTTGCCAATGACTTGTCAGGCTTAAAAGGGTCTGTGCCATGCAAGCCTTTCATAGGCTGCACTTCTGTGATGTGCTTCTGAGGGGGCATTTCAGCTGTTTCACACTGCTGAGCGAGTTGGCCAGCTTCTCTGACACTGGCAGAATAGATCATCTTTGCTTTCAAGACAGTTGGATGGGTACCAGAGTGAGCACGTAGTGTCAGAGGAAGTGGCTGGGTGGCACGTTTCTATTTGTCTGCGTTTTTCAAGTGATAATGTGTGACTCCAGCCTACTTCTTAAATCTCTCCCTGTTAATTACATTGCAGAGTAAGGTGCGCAAGAGTCCCAAATTGTCAAAATGCATTCTGTGTCCTATGTGGAACTCTTCAACTTAAATATCTTCCTTGTTACAGTTTAACAGCATGGTGCTGTACTGTGTGCCAAAACTCAGGCTGATAGGCCAGAAGTTCAGTGTTCGAGAGAAGATGGACATTGGAGGACTGCAGGTTTGCCTCTCTTCTTTTCACTGTTTTTAATGCTTAGACTTGCTTCTCCAGTAGACAGTGCCAGATCCCATCTGAATCTAAAAAAAAATATGACTGTATAGAATAGTAAGCAATTAAAATCCAGCTTTGGTTCTCTTTTTTTTTTTTTAGAGTTACTATTACCATGTAATAAAGTGAAGGTAAACAAATAGTGATTTGGTTGAAAGTCTTCCTTCTTTGCCTAGCTGACTCAGGAGCCCCTTTTTTCCCTCTCTGTTGTAGGGAAACACTGCAGGTTCAGAGGTTTTGTAGTGAGATAAGTAATTACTAAAATAATCCTTTGTTTTTTCTACCTTTGTATTGTATTCAGAGTGATCCTTTCAGCTAAGCATTTCAAATAACTAATCTACCTTTAAGTCATTAAAATGACTGAAAGAAGGCCGAAGGCAAGAAGTTGATGTGTTCTTTTGACAGGTCCAAGAAATTGCCAAGCAAAACGTGGCTCATACATTTTCAATAACAGGAAAAAAGAGATCACTGGAACTACAGGCCAGGTATGGTGCTTGTTCTGACTTTTGGGCTTGGTGAATCTTTATGTACAAATTTATGCTGTAGGTTATATGGCTGGGCTGGTATGGTATAGCTTTAAGCCAGAAGATGAGCATATGAGATGATTCATTTACATGTGCAAGAGTTTGTTGGCCTTCACTCAGTTAGTGTGTTGAAAGTGCCATATTGATTGGCTTTGTTCAGTGTGTAAGATGTTTATAGTAGTGTTTTTAGATTCTGCTGTAGTAATAATTCAAACATTTTGGCAGTTATTTTGTCTGGTAATAGTGAAGGTCAATAACTACTAATAATTTTTATAAAGTAGAAGATATAAAAGTTAAAATATTTATGCATATAAAGGTGTGAGGGTGTCAGTACTTGGACATAATGAAAATATTGAGTGTAGAATGTTGATGTTGTCTGATTATTTTTTTTCTTTTGTCTTAACAGGACAGAAGAAGAGAAGAGGGAATGGATTCAGGTTAATATAAAACCAGTACTAAATGGATGAAATCGCCATGCAGTCAGCACCTTCTGGTTTTAAAATGATCTTTTGGGTTTCTGTACAAATGAGGCTGTGTGAGGAAGCAGAGTAGTCCCATATGGAAAAGCTGATTACAGAGAATCTAGTGCTCCCCTCAGTGTCCCCTGCTGAATACTGCCTCACTGTAGTGAGCAGAGGCTTCAAGTGGGTTCCCATGTTCTGCAATGCTCAAGTGCAGAGTAGAAGAAAGTGAAGAGTGAGAGATTGTATTCTTGCAGTCTGACTTACAAGAAACACTAACAGTGTTCTTAGTTTTTGAGCTCATGGTGGTGAATTAACAATGCCATTCACAGTTGTTTTTAAATTTCAAATTTCATTTCTGCAAGTGAAAGTGGTTTTCAATAGAATGATGACTAAACTTCTCCTATGATAATTTTAAAGTATTTTTTAATGTAAGCTTTTCTAAGGCTCCTTTTGTAATACATTTTGTCTTCTCTGGCCTGTTTATTTCAGGTTATCCAAGCAACAATTGAAAAGCACAAACAGAACAGTGAAACCTTCAGAGCTTTCAATAGCTCATTTTCTCAAGAAGAGGAACATCTTCCGGATTCATCAGTAAGTATGAGTGCTTAATTCTTCTTTGCTGTATCAGTTACACTGACAGTTAAGCTGCAGTTACTCAGCCACGTTTCAAATACTGTCGTCTTATTTCTTGGTTTTGTTTTACATTACAGTACAGTCAGCTCTATTTCTCTGGCTCTCAAATGCATATCAGTCATAGTTATTCAACCATGCAGGTATGGAATAAATTACCCAGGGTAATTCAGTGCAAGAGGCCTATCAGTCATGTTTTCCAGATGAGTGGCTCATTTAGCATAACAGGTGTAATTCTTCAGTGTTATGAGTGGTTGGCTGCCAGGAATGATGTCTGTGTGCCTGGGAGATTTCCTCTATTACCTTTCCCCATCTCCTCAGAGATGTATTTTTTTACTTATTTTTTCTTATTATTATTATTGAAAAAGTTGTAAGCAGTTGAAAGGAAATAAGTGCATTTTATAGGGATCTTAACAGCACTGTCTATTTCAGAAGGGTTCAACTCTTCAACCACATACGCAGAATAGTCTCGAATGTTTAATAGTCTTGAAACTGGAGTGAATTCTCTGTGCTGTGTTTGCTAGGAATGTTGTTTTTGGACGGAGTCGCATGGAAGCCATGACAATATCTCTTCATTTAACTTCAAAATTATGTTAATAACCTAAACTGTAATTGCTTAAAATCTAAAGAGGAAAGTGGTAGAGAGAAATTTGGGGAATTTGATGCAGAGCTGCCTGTATTGATGTCATCAGTGGTCAAAGTTGGAAGGTCTTGGAGCACAGGATCTATCTGGAGAGATTAGACTCTGGGAACCTTTTTATCTTTTTACCCCTTCCCTCCCCAACTTTTATATTGTGTGTAACAATCAGAGGAGCCTCCACTTCCCCGATCTGTCTCAGTGATTTTGTAATGCTGGATTTTTGTTTAACTGATTTCCCAGGGGACTCGAGAGAGATGTTAGATATTGTTAGACATTTCTTTCATCCCAGCACAAGTCACAGACTAGCAGTGTAGATCTTTGCAGATCTCCAGAGTGTATGATCACATCACTTACAGTGGCCAATGATGGTGTGTTTTCAAAATGTGCCATATAGCTTACTGATCTTGAACTATTTGTCAGCTAAAAATACTCTGAAAAATTGCAAAATCATCAGTCTGTGTCTGTATTCTTAAGTCCTGGCTGCCTTCAGAACTATTGATGCTCTGATGGAAAAAATCTTTTGCTAATAGGCAAACTAATAGGCATACTTCTCTCTATCTAATTAAGACAGTGTCTGTTCAACTTCATAACTTATCTTGCTTTGTAAATCCTGTTTTATTTTGTTTCTGTATTAATGGTGTAGCCTCATGTTTATACTCCAGTCGTTCATAAAACTGAGGCAGGACAGAGTTCTGCTTCATCTCTTGGCTGTGATATGATCATAGTATGCACATTAATTTTTTTTATGTCAGAATATTAACCGGTATTTTTAGGAGATAATCTAATCTGGATAATGAGCTTTGAAAACTGATGTCAAGGCTAAAAGTACCAGAAATTTGCTGTCAGTTAAAAAGAGATGGATGTAATTCCATAAAGACAACTGGACAAATTGAGAGCATTCTGTGTAGTGGTATGCTTCTGTGAGCAGCATCTACCATACATACCTCATCATCTTGGTAGGATGCTGGCAGCATGCTTCAGAGGAAAAAATGACAATAACGTTCCTTTTTTACTCTCGAGAGTCAAGAAATACAGATGCTCTTGTAAATTCCAGGCTAGATCTGTAACAGCTACTAGAAATGGGGCTCTGGTTATAATAAGCTTGTAGAAAAACTGCCAAATTGCTTTTCTCCCATCCTTGGCCGTACATTTGATATGTTACAGTGCTCGTGATTCATTTCAGTTGTGTGTCTGCTGCGTGCCTTTGCACGCAATCCTTACGTGCTTTTGTTTTCCCTACTGATTACATAGCATCGTACAGCCATAGAGGGGTGATCTTTTGCCTGTGAATCACCTACAGAAGATTTACACTTTCATGTAGGTAAAGAGCTTTGGCAGTGTCTGACATTTGAACCAGATTCTTGAGATTATCCCTATGCAATAACATACAGCAGTTATGGTTCCTGGTAATACTGTTTTCAATAAGATTTCCTTTAAAAAAAAACAAACAAAAAACCGCCACCCAGAGCCTGTTGAAAAGAACATGTCTCTGTCACTCCTTTGCTCTCTCTCTTCACTGTGCATCTTCTGTTTTTCATGGTTACTGCTTATCTCTTACATAGTCTGCCTAAGTGCAATCCAGTGAGACTGTCAGTTTGGACACTTCTATAATACATCTAAGAGGAATGGTAATGAAGTCCCACCTGTCAAGAGGGAAATAATTCAGTGTCATTGCCAGTCAGTCTCCAGCAGGGTTACTGCCACAGTGATCTTTTGAAGACATCTTTACAGAAAGCTTCAGAGCCCTTTGTGGCTTAGTTCCTGCAGAAAGGTTTCACCACAGCTTGATCTCAGAAGAGTGGGGGCTCACAGTAAGTGGCAAGGAGAAGACGTGGAGAACTGAGTGACATCCCTGAGATACGAGAGTTGTCACTGCTTCTGTTAATTAAATTGTGATGTTTAGAATGTCCGTGTTCAAGTTGTTCTGTGTCGTTGTTTTCCCTCAGATAGCAAGTACGAGCTCTGTGGAATCGATGCCAGGAGCAGACAGCGGCGCACTTGGAGGGGTAAGTAATTCAGAGCTAATACTTGGTTAGTGTGGGGTGCTTTATGTTTCTTTTCCATCAGGAGAAAATCAGAAATATTCCAGCGTATTGGTTTATATTCCACTGCTAGTTGATGCAGCTGTGCTGTCCTTAACTTCCTGTCTGAGTGATACTCCTGGCTATTCGCAGGGCTTTGCACCATCAGGGAGTGTACATCCTCCTTTCCTGGTGCGTGCTGCACCAGTGGTGAACCTAGTGTGAGGGATGCTGATTGTTACTGTTGCAGGGTTGTGGTTTTTTAAGTTCTGATGGGGAGCTGTACTGAATGCCTGTGGGGATGAGAACAAAAGGAAACCAGACTGGTTAATGCTGACATTTTGTACAAGTCAGCATTTCACCTTCACAACCAAATTTTGATGAGGATTGCTTTCACAGCGTGCTTTCTGCCAATACAGAGGAGTAGTTGATAGTGCCTTTGTACATCTCTGGCCTGCCAGTGATTGGCTGCTGCAAAGGCGAGGTATATTTAGAAAAAAAATATTTTTCATTTTGCTCTTATAACATCTGTGATTGCTTCTGAGCAAGATAAGCACTGCTTCAAAAAGAGGATTGAGTCCTTAGTAAGGTCTATTTTTATGTATTTATTTTTTTAGTGTTCATATCTCTCCCTTCTAAAGTATTTTCAGAGAAGAATAGATTTTCAGGAAATGCCTTAGGGTCAGCTGAAATTTACTGAGAAACACAGAAACAACAATAACAAAAAACCAACACAGTGAGACACATACTATAGGATATTATAGATTAGCTTGGAGCTACTTAGAAGGCTCCTCTGAATCGCTCTCCAAGGCTGTGACCTATTGGTAAAGTTTACAAACTGTCATTGAAGCACTGTTAAACATGCCAGCAGCCTGACCTGTTCTAACAAGAGTTTATTACAAGTAAGTGTCTTCATCAGTGTACTTGTTGCTATTTATTGTTTGTTTACACTTCCTATTTGCAATAAGCATTTTTTATTTATTTATGGCCACTTTTACAATTGGTGGCCCTGTTGATTTATTTGCAGTTGCTATAGGGAAGTAACTATGAAAAAAATTGCCTAAATGGTACTTGAACACTTCTGTTGGCCTGTGGGATAAACACACTTTAGTTGTAGTTAGATAACATATTTAGATCCTTCTGGTCGATTATAGATATTTATGTCAGTGATTTGCATGGTGCATTGTGACAAATTAAATCTTTTTGGTTAAGTTGCATATTAAAAGAAAGTTTTAATTCCTGAAATAAATAGGAAAGTTGCATTAACATCTCAAAGCTAAATATATATATGTATTTCTATATGTGTATATGGATCGCGTTAGCATGGGCAATGAATTCAGATGTAAGGTGCAGTTTTATTAAAAAAAAGAAAAGAAAAAAAAAGAAAAAAATTAATTTTTAATGATATCCCTTTAAAAGAAGCATTTCGGTAACTTTATGAGCAAGTACATTTTGGGCTTCACAGCTTCCACATGCAAACCACTTGGTGGTAGTGGTGGTCAGCAAACTGATACCTCCTTCCTGTGGTTTTGCTGAGTCTGTTGAAGAATCTGCTGGCATTTCCTTAGTGTTGCACATTATCATAATCAGGCAATAAAAACAAAGCAGAAGGTGTAACCTGCTTGTTGTGCAGTATGTGGTGGCTTTTTGCTGTAGTGCACAGTTTATATGGCTTAATACTAAACTTCCTGTTTGCAAAAGGAAAGTACAGCCCATTGAAAGATTGTCCTGCATGTATGACATTGGCATATAGAGAAACAAGCTAAATTGCAAAGTATGCAAGCTATATTGCAAAGTATGAAATACACAAAGGATTTTAATTTCTCACAGATATTCAGCATTTCCAGAAGTACATTATGATGTTCTGCCCCAGTGTGGGTGTCTGCAAACATGTAATTTGTAACTGGAAAATATGCAGCTATGTAAGCATATGAAGAAAAAAAAGATTGAAAACACCTTTTCATGCATCTGCCCGTATGAGCCTCATCAGCCTTGTGTATGTTGTGTGTGCAGCATTAAGGCTGGCTGTAGGAACAAATCAAAATACATTACAAGTAATAAACAACAGAAAACAATCTGCTGAGCCCACTGTGTTTCTTGCTGTTCCTGTAAGCTGTGGTGTTTCTTCTCTGCTTCTTCATATCACACTACTGATTTGATGTCTGCTTTCCTAAGCACTCCAGCCACAGGCCCTGACCTTGCAAACATTACAGTCCTAGGCATGAGTTGTACCTATCCAGTTTTTCCACCAGAATTTTAAAGGCTGAGGAAAGTGAAAACATTTGCCAAGATTTGCCAAGAGAGTTTAATGCAAATGAGTGACCAAAGCAGCCCAGCCTGAAATAAACTGGTGTAGATTCCAGCTCTGAACAGATTTTGTGTGTTTTCTTTTTTTTCCACTGTCTTCAAAACAGGACTGGGTACATCAAGAGAGACAAATCCAGTGATTATTCAGGTACATTAGTATCAAGAATCCAGCTGAGGCCAGGGCAACTTTAGTTTCCCTTTCAACACACATCAACAGTAAATGTCATTTGAGTAATAAATGACTCAGATGCAAAGTGACTTTTGACGAATGAGGTTTGTGAATTACGGTGCGTTTCCTTGTTTACTACAAAAAACCTCTCTTTTCAGATGGTTTACGTGGTGGTGTCAACCTCCTGAGCCATCACTCGCTGAGATGGCTGATTGCCTGTGCAGCAGTGTCTGTTGCTTTCCACAGGGATTGAAAGTAAAGGACGTCTCGCTCCTTTTCCCAGTGTCAGCAGTTAAATAAGATGCATTCAGTGTTTTTCTTCTCAAATTTGTCAAGTTGTAAAGAAAATACGTTTCCATTTCTATTATCTTTCCTGCAGCCACAGTAGCAATGTTTCAGACTCCTGTATTTTTACTGTATTGTTATAACGTTGGGAAGTGTTAAGAAACATGGTGGTATTATCAAACATGGGGAGCTCTTCATACAGGGCCTTTTTGGATCAGTGAAATTAGTATCGAAAGTTTGCTGTATGCTACAGCGCAAATTAAAGTCTGTCTACAATAAGATCTGTCTAAAATTAAAGACCAATGCATAGCTGTCATAACGTAAACCAGACCTAATAGAATTTCAGTTTTTCTTTCCTTTGTTAAATACATGGGTCGTGTATTTCTGAAAGTGAACACTGCCCAGAGTGTTTCACATTGATGAGAAGTCAAATATGAGAACCCTTGAAGGAAATATTCAGCTGCAGTCATTTCTGTATTATAGAAGCATGCATAGGTGTGCTGATGGATGTTCCTGTTCAAGTTCAAATCAAGTAAACCAATTTCCATTTAAGCGGTACATTCAGTTCATATTAGAGGAGCTTCACCATTTTTCCTATGCAGACATATGAAGGTACCAATCAAAAGCCAAAAACTGATTTTTTGATTAATATTCTTCAAGATTGTCTTGCTCGCAAGCTTAAATGGTGGCTTCATTCACGCTCTTGCAGTTCTGGTGACACAGATGAAATCGTTGTTAATAGAAGAATCAAAAAGCTTCTTATTCTGTGTTCAAATGTTGACTTTTAAGAAGAGGAGAAAATAACGCTTGCCAGTGATGTAGTGCTCTGATCAAACAACTTGAGGGGAATCCGCTCCTAGCCACTGGAAGGAAAAGCACTCTCATAAAAAATTAAATAGCACTGTCATCAAAATTGGAATAAGAAACAGGAGAGGACTGGCCAACTTCTGTGATACAAATAAAAAGCATGACTCTGTAGATTGCTCTTTGTCAGTAAAAGAAGATCAGGCTGCCTTAATTATGTGCCTTACTTGGGGAGCTCTAATAGTGTCTGAAAGGAGCATTTTGCCAGTGAATCATCCAAGGCATTGTTCAGTTGTTGGAACTCAGTGCTGTACTGGTTACATCTGGTTCTTTACAAGAAAAGTGAAATTCTTCGCTCTGCCTCTGCGTGTGTTGGATTCGCAGGCGTTTTGCATTGCTGAACAATTAATATGTATGAATATGAGGGTATGGTGATTTTCCTGAATGAGCAGTCCCATCTGACTGTGCTTCACCAAACTGAATTGCAAAGCATCCCATGTGCTTGTATCAAAGTTTGAAGCGTTGCGATAGCAGCTGTTGTAAATTTAGTAAAAATTAAAAGATCCAGCCTAATTAAGAAGTAATTATTGTGGTTTTGTACCCATTACAAGCCAGGGTGATTGCAATAGTTCTGCAGAAAGATACTGTTTTCCTCTGTACCCAGGGAACATCAAGACAGAGACTCAGAGAGGCTGAAGGATGTAGGAGTGGTGTCAGCAGTCAGGCTGGACGTGGACAATTAGTTCTGGCGATCAGAAGTCACGTAATCCCACAGAGCACCCAGTGACTGAACCAGCATTTCCACCTTCGCCTTCAGCCATTAGCAGAGTTAGCATGAATTCTTTTCTAGAATGACTCGAATACTGTGAAACCCAAGGAGGAGCTTTGCTCTCTCAGTGTGAGAGCTCTGTGAGTTACGTTGTGATGTGTATTTTTTCTCTTCAGTCATACAGTTGTATCTTTCATTTCAGAGCGATTCCTGTAGGAAATCTTCCAAGTCCAAGCGGGACAAGGAGAAGCAGGCGTGCAAGAGCTGCAGTGAGAGCTTTAACTCTATCACTAAACGGCGGCACCACTGCAAGCAGTGTGGAGCAGTAAGTTTCAGAATGCATTCAGGCTTTTAGTTTTTTTTGCAGAGAGCATAGAAGATATTCTTTATTTTTTCAGTGCAGGAACTAAATAGATTGTTCGCGTGTAGATTGTTGACAGAGCAGATCTTCCCACTTGCTTTAGTGCCTCAGAGGTAGGGTAGAAAAGAGCAAATGTCTGCTGCCTTTTTCAAGTGACGTAGTCTGTGCTGCTTTACAGGCACGTGCTGCATCAGTGGTTAAAAAGAAAGGTGATGCATTCTCTGGGAACATGCATATATCTGGGAGGCGGTTGCTAACCGTTTGCAGGAGAAAAATGGCATTCCAGTGGCCCTGCTTCTTGCTAGCTCTTTCTGGGATGAGCAACTGAACATACAGTATTTAAGATGAATGATCTTTTCCTAAAGCAGAGTTGTCTAGAATTTCTTGTTCCAAAGTGCTTGGAAAGTTTGAAAAAATGAGTGCTGGAGCTTCAGGGCCAGGTTGCAGAGGGCACTTAGCTGCCCTTTCCCAGTGCCATTCACTGACAGCTTAATTTTCAGATTTTTCTGGAAATGGCATCCATAGCCACGACGAGATTGATTCCTGTAAAGTGACTTCCAACCTCCCTTCTGTTACTCGAGTTTCACGGTTCAGTGTTCCAGTGTTACGAGTACAGAATGATGTTATTTAAATACCGTTATTCATTTGGGAAGTGGAGATAAATTTTCAGCTGGAAGGAGATGTAAATGCATAGCTAAGATGTTTAAAATACTCAGTCTCAGCAATCGAAACAAAATTACTGTGGAGGAGACATCTTTGCAAAGAGCTGGGATTTTCAGCTTTCCGGATTTTTTTGTTCAGTTTTTAATAATAGCTAAAATCATAAAATGTTTCTTTATGTTTCAAATGCTCTACTGTAAAGCTGAGTATTATTTAAGAAGGGAAATAATCATTTTCCCCTACGGACAGAGAGATGATAAGAATTACATTATTAATAATTTATTGTTAAATAGTTGTTGGTTATGTAATGTTTTCTGACATGGCAATAGCAGCAAATGAAAGGAGTTAAATTGCCTCAAGGAAAGACTATCATGTTTCTAAAAATGCCAGCTTGCTTTTGTTTACATAACTTGGCAGAACGGCTCTTCACTTAACGCTTGCTGAATTAAAGCAGTTACCTTCTTACAGCCCTGCAGTGAAGCATGTAATAACATATACTTGTAACCGAAGGGCATTTGTGGTGTATTATTATACAGTAATTTCTGAATAGATGTTGAATCCATCTGACTGCCCTTGCATTGCACCCTGGGGGACAGTTTCTCTCCTTGGAGCAGCTGTGCAAAAGCAAGTAGTAGATTTAAGTCTGGAAGCCAGTTCCAGGGCTGCAGATCTATCACTCTCTGCAGGCACTGATTTCATGGGACTGATGTTTCTTTGCATGTTCTTGGAATCAAAAGCTGTTAATTTGGCATCAGACGAAAATTGTAATGCATATTATATTGGGCTATGTTCATAAAATGGTTGGTAATTTTGGATGCCTCAGTTCTTTCAGGCTGAACTGCCTACTGATAAGGAGGTGCCAGCCACCTTCACTCCAAAACTGTCTTATGATTGGCATTGGGAAACACTGATCACTCTGTAAACTTAAGCTCTTTTTAACTCAATTATAAAGTATTCCCCAAGAGGCATGTGTTTTCTTTAATGGGTTTCTTGGGATGGGATCACAAAGATATTAATTCTTAATGGAGGTAAATAAAGTAAGCATTGTAGATTGATCACTTTATTTTATATTTACAAAAGCTTTCAGGATTTTACTTCAGTAACGTCCATTCTGCAATTCAGTTTGTTTAGAGCATAAATAAGATTACGTTTTAATAATGACTAATACAGCACTGTCCTGCTACAGGTGATCTGTGCAAAATGCTCAGAGTTCAAACCACTTGCAGATAATAGTCGTCACAATCGAGTGTGTAAAGAGTGTTTTCTTCAGCTACCACTGAGCCCATGCAGCCCTGGAGTGGAAGCAGTAGGAGAACAGAAGAAAAGACAAGCTGCAGAGGTATGATGTTTATCTAAGAAACATCTGGTGTGCTAGCTGCCCTCGTGTGTCTGTTACCATTATTACTATTACTGTTATTCAAGTGCATTTGTTTAAAACAAATCAAATCATTTGGTTACTTTTTTTTTTCCTACAGTGACATTTGAGCATTCGTGCACACTGAATTCTGTTTGTTAGTGGGGGCGTTCCCATAGGATGTTTATGGCGTAGGGATGCACGCGGGTTTTGCAAATAAGCTTCAGCTTTCAAAGTAACAAAAGATAGGAAAAGCTTCTGGCTGCTTTTTGTTACGATGCATTTCCAACCTTGAGTTTCTCACAATAACTGTTGGTAGAGCTTGGCAAAGTAGAGTTTGGGGTTTTTTTGCACTCCTGCCAAAATATCATTAGAACACGTTTTTCTTACTTGATCATGCAAAAAAAGATAGACTGTCAGGACTCACTGAAATATTCTTAATCCTGCTGGCATGCAGACTGTTTTCTCCAAGACATAACTTCTGCAAATTGTACTGCATAAGCTGTTGCTTCACAATTGCTATGGATGTCACCAAGCTTTATACTGTGATAGCAGCATCACCTACCCTTATTTTTACAAAAACAAGAAATATATTGGCAAACTGGTTTGTTTTCATCTCCCAGTAAATGAACCTTCTCTTACCAATTCATTTTCTTAGACTACAGGAAGAGCTGTGAGTGCTATGACGTGCAATGAATTTCATGGGTCATCTTGAAGAGAAGATTTTTATTTATTTTACCTTTGAATTACAGCCAGAAGTCATTCAGAAGTCACTGCATGCATAAAAGGGGCCATTCATTTCAATTGAAAGTGGACCCACAAAGGCATATCTTCAGAGAGTGTAACAGATTCTGGAAAGAGCTACTGAAACACCAGGAGATCTTAACTTCGTGAGCCATCCTTCCCCCCATATGCTGACATATGCTAACCTGGCTTGAATACTGCGTGGAAAACCAGCGAACAGTTGCAAACTATGCTGAAAAACATCAAACTGAAAAACTTCTTTCTTGAAGCCTCTCCTTATAGCCTCCAGACTGCCTTTCAGCTTTGTTATACTTCCTCAAGAGAAGCAACCTGCATGGAAAAGAGCTAAACTCTGTGCAAGAAATACAAACCTATTGGTGCTCATCCAGAACTCTTGCAGTGAATGCTTGTTCAAATAAATCCACCTTGACCCTTGCCCCCGTACTTCCCAGAATGTCATATTTATTTCCAGGCTATTAAATGTCTCAGAGGTCAGCACACTGATAAAAACTATTGCCGTGTGCCAAATTGAACTCTGCTACTCAAATTCTTTTTCAACTTTGTGCCCCAAAGCACACCTAGAGTCTAAGAAATATAGAGCTACAAATGCATGATGTCCTTCCCCAAACTCACATCTTTACAGAGCATGGAGAAGATGGAGCAGATTCTGGATTAGAGCTTTACACCATCAGAAACTTCATGTATACAAAATAGCTGTGCCTACAGATGAAGTGCACTTAATATGCCTCAAAACAGTCTGAGGAATCTCAGGATAAATTTTCCAATGCTGTTTCAGTGGAGCTGTTTGCCAGTGAAGTGAAAACCTACACGTACCCAGCAGTGAGCTGTGTTAATCTGAAAAGCCAAAAAGCGAACCAGTGAAATGTGACCTGTGGCTTTACTTCAGAAAGCAGATTACAGCAGAAAGCTGCAAAAACCCAAGGAGAAACACTTATTTTTCCTTTATACGCTCATGCATCTAGCCTTGTGCTAAGTCCTCAGAGGATCAGGTAAAATGCAAGAGAATATGGATATGAAAAAGAAGGATCAGAGGCAGACTTTTTCTTTCCCTCCTATTTACATGAAACTGTCTTAACAAACCTAATAGCATCTGAGGAGACTGCTGCTTTCCAAATGTTATTAGCAGAAATCCTTGGGAGAATTCTGTGCAAAGTCTGATGTGAAAAGGAATTTTCTTTTTCTTTGCTTTTTATCATAAGGCAGAAATTTCTTCTATCTTTTTTTTTGCCATAGCACTCTCTGATTTGGCTTATGTCTCTGCAGCCATGCACAAGAGTGTCTGCTAATCCCAGCGCTGAGAAGATGTGAATGACAGAAGCACAAGTATTTGCATACAGTTTGTGTTCCAAACTCCAAACATCTCCCATCTCTCTTGCAGCAGTATCTAAAACAAGCACAGAGCACTTGGTGCACTGCTTCTGAATGAATGAACCAAGTGCACTGTCTACACAGTAATTCTAAAATGTAGAGAGGCACCAGCTTTCTCTTTGCTCTCTCCTTTCCCAAAATACTTGTTTCATATGTGTAAAGTGTGATCACTGTTGGCTGTGCAGTGAAGTGGATTATGAAACTGGGTTGTGGAAGATTGGCACTCTGTGGGGCAGGTTCCAAGCAACCATTATTTCTTATTTCTAGGCTCGTGCTGCTTTACCAGTGATATTAGAGCTGTCTTCTGTACAGATTTGCAGCAACACCATCCCTTACGTACAAAGGAGACTCACTGATGCTGAGGCACATTTTTCATTCATTTGAAATCACCTCCCAGTCTACTTTGCTAAGCAAGAAACTAGCAGTGTCAATTGCCATTCTCAATTTACTTCGTAGAAGTGAAATTTAACTTCCTGTCCACTGGGAACAGCAGTTCAGCATCTGCTTCTGTTACATGGAATTCTGCTATTTCTTGATGGTATATAATGATGATTAAACTTTGTTTTACACAGAATCACAAGGTTGGAAATGACCTGCAAGATCATCTAGTCCAACCACCCTCCCATTCCTATTAGTACCACAAGCACTAAACCATATCTCGTAGCTCCTCATCCAGGCAAGATGTGGTCTGTCCAGCATTTGTCCTTCAGTATTGTTTGACTCTGGAAAACTAAGTATTGTGTAAGTATTTTTACTCTGTAAAAATGATTGAAACAGCTCTCTTTTGTTCTTTCTGCAGAAGCAAAGCTTATTAGCACCTGAAAACAGCCTCTTCAGCAGCTACCTCCAGTTCCTTGAAAAAGGGAAGACTTGGTACAAAATGTGGGTGACCATCCCCAAGACTGAACCTCTTGTTCTGTACCTGCAAGGAATTAGCCAGGTAAAGTGACATTCATGAAGGCTGTCATACAGCAAGAAAAAGTATAGGTTTAGCTGAGAAATAGGTCAAAGGATTTGACTAGGTTGCAACAACAGAAATGAACTTGGTATTCTGAATTTATCACAAAGCCTTGGAAATTTCAGATGTCCTTCTTATTTATAGTTGCTACTGATACAGTTGCAAGCAAATGTTTTAAAAGTCACAGCTTTTTAACTTTATTTTAATTTTTTTTTAATAACGAGGGACAAAATAGGCATAAATAACTTCTTGTTTTGTTTTGTTTTGTTTTCCAGAGGCTTCAGATGGATATATTCAAAAGTTATATTACCTTAATATTAAGGAAAGCACCTTACTATAAAATGAGTGGAACTGTGAAGCAGTTCTAAATATCACAATTCAAGCTTTTTTTTTCCTGTTTTTTTCTTCTTTTTTTCGTATAATTAAGGCTCTTCTATGTTGTATTCCTGTACGTGCAGGAATTTGTGGAAATGTAGATGTTCATCATCCTCAAAAGGGGAGGCCCTTTGGTAAAGCTTGTCATAGCATCATGATTTTATCATTACTTCAAATAATTGCTGTAGGAAGCTTTTTTTTCTTTTTTAAATGAACTGTTGAAGCTAATTAGCATTTGAGTGTGATAAAAGTAAGTAAACTCAAAGACAGAGATTCAAATCATGCTTCCTTAGCCCTGATGATATCATGTGACAGCACTGACACCAGATCCCCCACTTCCAGTTTTGTATTTGGCATTTGATAACATTTATATACAGCTTTGCTTCATCTTCTGGATGGAATAAAAGAAGGAATGGTGCTCACATTCAACCTGCTACTACCCTGCTGTATGTGTAATGATACAAGGGATTTTCTTTTAATTAGCATCATTTTGTATGCATGTGGCTGGCAGTGGTCTGAAAACTAAATACTACCCATGATTTTATGAAGGTATTTGAAGTAAAGTTTACCATGTAGCAAATGTTCAGCTAGAAATATGTGTTGTCTTTGGAACTGTATTTATTTTGCTTCTTGTCAGAGAGAACACCTCTGGTTTTGAACAAGCATGTCTAATGTTGTAGTGCTTGAGAAGCTGAAACCATAAATTTAGAGCTCCAGACAAAGCCCACTTGCTAAAGCCCTCACTGGCTAAATATCCAACTTCTCCCATGGGCAGTGAGCTGCCTGGGTTCCCTTCCAGTCAACAGGACATGCATGACTGAAATTACAAGTTGAAAAGGCAAACTGCCTCAGACAAAACACTAAAACCTAATGCAACAAAACCAATCTTTAGATCTCTGTGAAGTCAGTCAGGGGAAACAAAAGAAAGGCTTTAAAAAGCAAAGTAGAGAGAAGAGATTTACTGCAAAACTTTTCAGTTGATGTGAAAATTATACATCAGCAAAGCACCAGTGCAAGCCCTATATTCCATGCAAACTGTGCCAGAATGTCTTTTGCTCCTTGGAGAGCATAAAATATTGATGTGAGGCCTGATGTCAGGGCCAAGAATCAATGTCCTGACTGCAGCTGATACTAAGATAAATCCATTCTCAGACCTCTCATGTTTTTCTTGAATACATTAATTCATCCTAACTTACAGATAAGCTAGGGCAAGAGGAGGAAAAGAGAGGTTTGAACTCTTTGGCCTTCGTCACGCAGGAGCAGTGTATGTCATCTATAGGTGGATGGAACTAGAAGTTGCAGGAATGCAGCATCTCTTACATGGTATGACCTAGAAAGAGAATTTCTCCTAGTGCTCAGCTGATCGTCTCAGGACAGCATAAGTAATAACCCAAGAGACGTAAGACAGATATATTTAGCACAAGCAGAAAGATGTTCAATCCTCCAGACCCTCTTCTGGCAGTCATGCAAAGCCACGGTCAAAAGCTGGAGGAAGTTCTGTGCTTCATATGCTGTATTCTTTGTTCTGTGTCCTGCCAAATTTGATCTTGAGCCTTCTGATGTTATTAGTAAGATCCCGTATTTTAGGGGAAAGGGTGCCTTTGTCATGTGATTGTCAATTTTATGACAGTTGAATATAGTGGTTAGTGTCCTCAGCTATTTCAGATGTGAGATATATCACCTGATAGAAGAGCAGAAAAGCATACAGGACAAGGTTAATCTGTTTTACATTCAACAACCAAGCCTGGATTTACTATCAGACACCAGAAGTACAGGCTGAGACTATAAACAACATCAATGAGTCCTTTCTTCAAAGGACTGCTGTTCCCATTCACATACTTTCTTCATCTTCCCTTCAGCATCCAGCTGAAGGGAAAAAGTTACGAAGTGAATCCTTAATATTAACCCAGTGTTTCTACTAGTTTGAATTTATGCAAAATACATGAGAAATACAGCTCCCAAAAGAGGTACCTTTTGGAAATAATATTGCCAACAGTGATATTAAAGGTATTGATCAAGTGAAGCATGACCACAGGAGCATTAGCTGTGGGATTATGTTAAAAAAAAAATAGAAAGTTGCCTCTTGGGAAGGAGGAATAAACCAAACCCAGCCTGGGACTCCTGCTGCACTAATGGTGGCCCTGACAGCGTTCTCACTGTGTGCTGCAGAAGGAATTTCATGCAAATAGCAGAATGACTGTCAGGCTTTAAAATAGCAAGAGCTGTGTTCTTTTGCTTTATACACTTGTTCCAAGAGAATGAGTAAATCTCCTGGGTGTTCACAGTTTAAATTTTGTGCAGGGCTTTATGCATGAGGATAAAATTCACAGTTTATTTATGTGTGGAAATCATACCAATTTGATCTGTCCTCAGACAGAGACTGGATTTGTGCAGCTGTTTGTCATGTTTATCCAGCTAGAATTATAGGAGTTTGCTTGTAAGCGCAAACCACCTCAGGCTTAAGGATGGCTGGTTTTACTGGGCTCTTTCCACAGATCCTGACTGGAGCTTCTCATTCTTCTCCTGTTGTCCTGTGTGGACAGCTGGCTCCAAGGCACTGATACTAACTTCTGTGTCAATGAGAAACGCAGAATTAAGGAAGCACAGCTAGCTAGAGAAGCAGCTAATTTTGGAGAAATGCAGAGCAGGAATCTGGCACAGCCAGGTGCTTGATCCAAGTGGAAACTGTGCTTTATAAGTCCCTAAGAAAAAGCCTGCATTTGTCACTTAAATGTGGTTTACTCCTAGCGAATGAGGGAGTAACTGATTTTGGTAGAGCTTGGGGTTAATAAATCAGATTTTTTTTGTGGCTCGTTAGTTGACCTTGTTGAAGCTTTAATTGGTTCTGCACATAACAAAGCCTGTCCATTTCTTGTGGTTCTGCAGAGCTGTATGTCTTGGTCTGTGATCCAGTCAGGTCTTTCAGTGATTTGTGTTTCAGGTTAGGTCAGAAGTGGGTAAGGAGTGGAGGTAGAAACCAAAAGGATTTTGTAAGCCTACTTGAAAGCAGAAAAGATGAAAGAGGGTAACTGCTGCTCTGTGTGATCGTGCAAGAGGGCTTGTACAATACAAAAGGATGTGTAGGAAAAGATGTCTGTATTGAGGGTGCCTGGAACAGACCTTCCCCCAGAGGCTGAGTGCTTCACCTCTTATCTGACAGCAGTGCACTTCTAAGAAATTATTTACATCCCTTCCTTGTGGATCAGGCAGGTAAATAGGAAGTCACAAGCACATCATATTAAGAAAAGGGCAAAGGCAGTCTGTTTAATTTGTGTCTGCACTGCTGGGTAGGTGCAACACGTACATTTCAAACATCAGTTTGCTCTTACACAAATGTTGTAATTTTTCACTGTCGTGGGCAAATTCTGGTTTGCCATGTGATAAGGCTTAGTGTGTATTTCATAAAACTTAAATACAGGATCTGCAGAGCAGACATGGTGGAAGTTGCTTGTGCTTTTGTGCATTTTGTGTCCACTGTGCTGTCCTGTACCATCTTGCTTTGGCTGTGCCATATAGCCAGGTCTAGGTCTACTCAGTATGTGCCAGTTCTGAATTCTGTGTATGCAGTACCTAGAAACTGTATGCTAATAAAGCACTTAGAAGAGGAACTGAATTCTTCTGTGTTTGACGTGAAGCTGCCTTAAACCTCCTCAGATAATGTGTGGTCTTCAAGCTTATGGCCCTGACATTTTTGTATAACAATAAGAAATGGTAGATAAATAAATTAATACAGGTTTCCTGATTTAATATGTGTTGTACATGCAGGTCTTTGTTTGCACTGATGTGAGCAGTTGTGAGACATGTATTATTTTAGCCTGAGTGTTAGAAAACAGATTTTTAATTGCTATTGTTCTCAGGGCTCTGGCTTCCTTATAGATGTACAAAGTCATCTGTATTCAGTGTGGGAAGAGGAGAATGTTGTCAGCTCTGATGCAGATATTCAGTAGGCTGCTACACACGTAGCTGCAAGAAGACAACGTCTCCTTACAGATGCTTGGTGTCTGACTGGTTTGGACTTGAGTTTTGGGACTTAACATTGAAGGTGCTGGCATGATGTGAAACAGGCTGCTTGCTCTCTACCTGCATACAGCTTAGCAGGGGAGTTGCTTTATGCTCAGGATGTGACTGTTAGAAAGCTTTATTGCTGCCTACATCTCTGAGTTAATCTCGCTTTTAAAGAATGGCAGAAAATCTGGGCTTTGACTTTCCTTTGCAATCCTGACAGGGGTCATAAATAACCCAAGACCTGTTGAGAAGATTCGCTGATTGATTTGAAAGTTGAAATTCTCTTTTATTTCCCAGTCTCTTCCCTGGCAGTTGTCACTGTGGCTCTCAGTGTTCAACTCTGTGTACTTGTCATCCTTGAACCAAACTTTCAAATGTCCCACGGGGTCCATAGGGACTACGTGCAGCTATTTGGAGCTGGACACGATTGCCTGTACCTAATGAAATGATTTTCAGTGAAAGAAAATGTGTAGGTTATGTAGAGTTACGTGAAAATCCCCAGTAATCACACTGCTGGACCTGTATTCAAGTCTTCAAGTAGAATTGGTTGTAGGAATTTTACATTTTCCCTTTCCTCTTCTTTTAGGATGGACGGGGTCCACGTCCTATTCCTCTGCCGGGATACGAAGTCAGTTTTCCAGGTTCTGGTGAGAAGTTTGAAGTGAAGCATGTCTTTAAGCTCTGCCAGTCCCAGCAAACTATATATTTCAGTGCAGAAGATGAAGAGCTGCAGCTGAAATGGATGGAAATTCTCGCCAAAGCAGCCAAAGGGGAAACTGAAGATGTAGCTGAAGGGCTCAACAACCCGTAGAGCAAGTTTCATTTAGTTTCTTTTGTACATGCTATAAACCATCACTTGAATTTTGGTATTCATGGCACTTTGAAATCTGTATGGCTTTATATTTTCATGTGTCTGCATAGGAAATTCAGTGGTTTCTCTCCTTTTATTGTACATTTCTCACGTACAGTAGTTATCTGGCATATGTTATGTTAATGGAGAAGGTAGTTGTAGTTGTTGGTGGTGTTGATGCTGGTTAAAAGACAAAAAAAAAGACAAGGAGAAAAGCATTAATTTTATCAAAGGTAATGGAAAACCATTGGTCTCTTGTTTTCCTAAATGTATATTTTCCAGTCCTTTTGATTGCTGTTCAGTGCAGGATGTGTATAGTCTGTGATTAGTTCTATAAATGCTGCCTCTTAAGTTAAATGTTGTAAAGGCTTGTGCTGGCCACTGACATTCCACTCACTGTCCTCTCCCTCCTGGTAAAAGGTCTCTGTGAAGTGTGAGCAACGTTCTGAATATTTTCTTTTGCTAAAACTTTGTCTCTGCTATTTTGAGATGACCTGTTCACAAGACAAATACTGTAGAAGGGACTTCTAAAAATGACTGCAAAACTGTGCAGGGAAGAACATTAAGAAGCCTCATTGATTTTAAGCATTTATAATATTGTTTTGTTTTCTTTTGAAACCAATACCTTCCTTACTTCTATTTGAACCCATTTTAATGTAAGTGAACAAATGTTTTATACTGCCAACTGGGATATGATCAATAAACGAGAACATTTTTAGTACACACAGTACAAAAAGGTGACTTTTTTATTGCTGTACTGGTTAATTTAAAAGTGCCCTAGGATTTATTTATATATTTTGTAAATAATGTTTCATAAGTATTTTAAGAATTTTTAAAAGATCTGAGCTAATTAACAGGACTTAGTGCTTAGAATAAGACATATTTGTATGAACTGAATTTGTAATTTAATTTTCCTGTTCACTTGTATTTGTCTAATTTTCAAACTTAAGTGCTTATCTATTTAAATAAAAATTCGTGCAGTTAACTCCTGAGCCAGATCTCCAAGGCACAGCAAGCTTTAGGTTGGCATTTAATATAGGTTAAAAAGAGGGAAAATAAAAACAAAAATAAGGACTGTGTGTTCCTAGTGGTAGCAAGCATGTAGTTCTGATAAAAATGAAATAAAATCTGTCACAGTACTATAATTTTTAAATGGTTTGGTTTAACTTTTGTTTCCTCTTCAGCCTTCTGCATTTTGTGATGTTGGTAGAAAGAAAGAGCTGCTCCATACAGCCAGAATCGGTTAGAATTGCTGAAAATTAGCAGTCTCCATCAGTGAGTGTATTTCTTACCTATAGAGAAGGATTTGGTTGCATGGGGCTTTTTTCTTTTCTTTTAAACATAGGTATAATCAGTTATCTGAAGTCGGTGATGCTAAAAAATTAGATGTATTTAATTAGCTGCTGGTAAAGTATCAATGATCTGAATATTCTCTGTCCTCCCTACCTCCTCCCCTCCAATAAGTTAATGTGGAAAGTCTTCCTTGCAAGGTAATTTTTATGGTATAGGTTATGAAAAGGAATTCTTTCCAGCATGTGTTATTCTTCCCACCAGACCCCCCAGGCTTCCTGTCTAAATGTAACGATTTAGGATGCTTGCCTTGAAAATTTACTGGGTTTGTAATCTTAGTGCATTTTTTTCTTTTGTCCATCCCCCTTGTTCTGCTCTTTCTTTGTTACCAAGAGAGAAATAGGAAAGAAGAATGGTAAAGCACAACAAAAGGAATAAACCACTCGTTTTCTAGTTTTATTAACCAAAAGCAAACCTTGTTAGTGCACTTTTTTTTGCATTTTTTTCCATGGGATCCTCATTTCCTCATTTTGCCTTTTTTTCTTCTTACAAGTAACTTTAAGTATGTCAAGGCACTTATCTAATATTACCTGTACCTCAGATCACCTTCTGCCGAAAATGTTCTTTTTTAGAAAGTTGTAAAAATTATTATGGTCTGCTTGGAACAAGATCACACCAGCAGGCATCTGTGCCGTGGTTCCTGTGCAGTAGCTTTGTTTCATTTCCAGCTCATCTCTGTTTACAGGGGAAACAGCATGGCCCCTGCCTGGGGAATCTCCACTGCATGGCTAAGCCCCGCACCCATCAAGAGCTTTTGTAGCCTAAAGCTGGTAACTTAAACCTTGTCTGGAGAGCTGATGTGAGTCCACTGCAGATCCCAGAGCTCTGCTCCTTTTTGATATAGCATGAAAACACTCAGCCTACAGCATAAATTGAAACAGGTAGTGGTGATAGAGGATGAGACCTCATGCCTTCAGCCATGGTCAGCATTGTGGCCTCAGTCCAAATCTGTGATGCTTACCCAGTCAGCTTTTTCCAAAACCCAGTTAAATTTCCAGAGAAGCTGACAGAATAGTCTCCATCAACTCGCAGTTGCTTTGTATTCACCTACAGTGAGATACCCCGTTCTCTTTGAGGCAGTGTAGCAGAAATGCTAAGTCATGGCCTGATGAGCACCTGGTGGGAAGGCAGGGCCAACCCAGAGGAGCTCAGGTGTTATCAATGCAATGCACCTGAGTGACCAGAAGGGATGGAGCCAGGATACCCCCTTCCCAGAGCTCATTGTAGGATTGGCAGTGGAGGTGAGGGTGTCTCACTGGAGATCCCTGACCACTTGAGGCCTTCCAAAGGTAAGCAGTTTTTCTTCCTTCAGTTTTGCATCCTCAGCTGCTGCGTTTCAGCTTGTCCTCATTTCCTACACCTAGGATTGTGCCACCCTGCCACTGTTGCTGTACTTTCCATCGCGGGCACTGTTCAGACTTTGGGTTGTTATTTCTTTTCTTGGGGCACACATTGAGTTGTTCATACAAATGAATTCAGCGATACGAAGGTTGAGAACATGATGAATTTCAAAGTGTGAGTACATATCTTCTAAGAATGCAAGGAGCAATCCAGAACTCCTTGAATCCTGAGTAGCTTGATACATAAAGGAAGCAGAGTTTTTTATTGTTGTTTGTTTGTTTGTTTTAAATATATAAATGCAAAAGAAGACCTAAGATTGCAATCTGGTTCACGTGATAATAAGCAGGTATACCAGAACTGCGGTCAGCTCTGCCAGACAGGGGTCCTGAGCTCCCAAAGTCTGTTTCTCTCTCCATTTAGTTTTATAATTATGCTCTCAGATTGTAAGCCTCAGTTTGTCTTGGTGTGCAAACTGATGTGGCTCTGGGGGAGGCATCAGTAAATGTTTCCTCTAATCCAGTGCTCTTTCCTCATCACCTGTTTGGCTGCTGTCAGGGTGCTGGCTGTATGAATCTGTAGTCTGCTTCATTTTGGTCCTGTCTTCTCAGTGAGACCTGAACATTTGGGCCTGTTGGATGAAGAGTTGTAACTGAAAAATACACAACGCTGGTTAGTGAGGATGAGGGGCTGATGGTGAGTCTTTAGTATTAGAAGGCAAAAGATCCTGCAGATACTGAGCATATGCTCAACTTAGTGAAGTATCTCTGTTGTTTCCAGAGCAAGGTAAGGCATGTGTAAAAGCCTATACAATATTGAGACTAGGATAAGCAATGATTCCAGTAAACCTTACAGGTATTAAGAGCTACATGATCAGCTATAATGAGCTTATTTCTTGGTTTTAAACTTAGCTTTTTTTGTACCATCACTTCTGCCTGTAACCACTATTGGAGATCTCTTAGATGTGTGCTTTTTCCCATAAATAGTTTCATGTGCAAAAGAGGGGAAGAGTTCTGTTTTAAGTATTGCATTTATAAAGGTCAGACAGATACAGTACCAAGCCTCACATCGCTTTCCCTGATCGTTCCCTGATTTTTTCTTTGAATTTACTTTTTTTTTTTTAAATACCACATTGGTGAGGAGCAGCCATCTGTGTAAATGTTTTCTTCCATGAGCCCAGAGGTGCCTTTGCTGTATGTATATCTCTGAGAGCCACTCAAAATAGAAAGAGATGCTTCTTACATCTTGTTTCTGCACTTGTCCTTCCAGTAAATGAATTGCATGAATGGCATGGGCGTACATAACTGAATACTTGGGGAGGTGTGGCAGAATATGTTGCCATGCTGTTTAAAATTATTTAAGAAAGAATAAAGAAACCTCTTTCTTCTTGTGCAGAACACTGCATTTCCAGCACTTTGGCTGTTAATGGGAAAGAAACGTGTCAAGTGGTAAAGCTAAAAGTAATACTTTGTCCTGAAAAGAACAGAACAGGCTCTGTTATTTTCAGTGGTGTTCTGAAATGGAGCATCTTTCTTCATTTATTTGGTTTGAACAAAGACAATTGAGCTATCAGTTTAACAGGCACTTAGCAGTGCACAGAGCGAGCTGGGAGTCGGGGAGAAGAGAAATGTTTCCCTTTAGTAGATCTTAGGCCTGAGAAATGCAGCAACGTTTTTCCTGTTCTTTTTGTTGAGGTAACACACGATTTTGGGTTTTCCTGCCTGTTTTGCATCCTGGCATAGTTTCCCAGAAGCAGCTGCCCAGCAATGCTGAAAATGTAGCTCAAAGCTTGTGGTTAACCTGCCTGACACCCGTTACTTGTCTTGGTCTTGCACGAGCACCATGGAACATTGGCTGCTAAATATAAGCGCCTGCACATCCTGTCAACAAGCACCTTCCCTTTTTACACACCTACCATTTCTCTTTTTTGTTCTTAGGCCTGTGTGGGGCATGGCAGGGATTTCATTTGGCTTGCACTTTGTGTTTTCACTTGGCTGGGCACTCTGCAGGCCCAGGGAAGCTTGACAGAGTTGAGTGATTACCTTCTGCTGTAAAATGAAATAGTGATAAAATTGGCTTTTCAGAAAGCAGTTACTGGCTGCCCACACGGATATTGTGTGATCTACGACCATGAGATTAGACTGAAGGAGGAATTCTGTTTGGAGTCTCTAAAATAGAGTTTTGGGAAGCTAAAACTAGCTTACATAGATGACTTGCTCAAACACAGCCAAACGAACTTACATTTCTGCTATGTGCACAGTGTGAAAGAAAGGTACCCGGGCATGTCTTAGCAACAGGATTCAATCTTCAAGTAACAGACCCTCACCTGGAATAAATGACTTCGATTTTACCCAGACATTTGAATGATCTTAGGACCTGGGCTGCAGTGCTGAGTTCCTGTTGACTGACAGTAGCTTTCAAGAAAGTTTTCCCTCAGTACTTTTCCCCCTTCACTGTCTGTGCTGCCCTGCCCTGCAGAAAGCTTATTTAAAGCTAATTTCAGCTCAGCATGTGCATACGGTGTGTGCTGAGCAACGGTGAGTCATGTTCAGCTTGATAAGGAAATGAATGAAAATCCCTACAATGTGAAGAGACTCTGTGTTCCCATGTCTAGACTATGCATGCTGTGTTGGAAAACTATAATTTCCAAGTCCCCACATTGTTTCAGTCAAGTGGGCCTGTTTTCCCTGCCAATGGCAAGTAGTTTTCCTGTGTTTCAGGATGATGCTCCGCTAACGTGGAAGCTTCTCACTTTGCTGTTCAGGTCAAAGTGATTTCATACGTTCTATAGCTAGTGTATATAAACTTGAAAAGGAATAATCAGTTGTCCCAGTATCTCAGAATAGGAAAGAATCTGTCAAGACTTTTACACTGTTGCAAGTACCCACGTGCCTGTAAGATCTTGGGCCATAGTGCTGGGCAACTTGCACAACGATGCTCAACTGGGATAAGTGATGTTGTCCTACTTCCAATACTGATGAAGTTGCTTTCAGATTCCAAGCTGAAGATTACAATGTTTAGTGTGAAACTGGTGACAGCAAGTACCAGCTGAGTTCTGAATTGATAAGAATAATTAAGCGCTGTGTGTTGGCCTACGCATGCATTGTAACTTTCACGCTTCATAAGGGTCAGCACATTTTTGCTCTGATAAACAGCCCAGTATTAATTCAGAACGTACTGAAGCTGCAAGGGAGTCTCAGGAAATTTTAGTTTTCAACACAGAAAGTTGCCTGTGGTGTTGGTGTAGTGGCTGGGTGCATTGAGCAAACGTGAAAAGATTGGGACGTTTCCATAGGCTCTTATGGGTAGGTGAGTGATTCAGGGATTCCAGTGCCTTTGAGCTGTTCATAGGGTGGTTGGTCCATTTAATTATTCCACAAGGTTAATTGTACATTGGGGTTTTAGAAATCTTTTTTTTAATTGCAATAAGTACCATTGAAACCACAGCAAGCAAAAAAAAAAAGGACCAAGGAACTGAATTAAAATAGGAAAACCTTTGTGCTAAAATAAAGTGACGGGGAAATAAATTTGCTGTGTTGTATTAGGCTTAGAGCTACGTGATACCTCAGGGCTGGTATACCAATAGCTGGGAGCAACCCTGTACTGTTCTAGTAGTAAAG